TTTTTTTTTAAAGATTTTATTTTTAAGCAATCTCTACACCCAGTGTTGGGGCTCAGATTTACAGCCCTGAAATCAAGAGTTCCGTGCTCTACCGACTGAGTCAGCCAGCAGTGCCTTGGTTTTAATCTTTATTATCCTAATTACAAATGATGTTGAGTGTCTTTTCATGTGTTTATTAACCATTCACATGATCTTCCTTCATGAAGTGTCCGTTCATGTCTTTAGCCCATTTTTTTAATTGGATTGTTTGCTTTGTATTTGTTGAGTTGTAGGAGTTCTTTATATATTCTAGGTACAAGTCTTTGTCAGACATATCTTTACAAATGCTTTCTCCCAGTCTGTGGCATACTTATTTACTTTCTTAGTCATATCTTTTAATGAATGGAAGCTTTTAATTTTTTTTTTTAAAGAGTTCATTTATTTGGAAGAAAAAGAGAGAGCACAAGCAGGGAGAACGGCAGGCAGAAAGAGAAGCAGGCTCCATGCAGGTCTCGACCCCGGGACCCTGGGAGGTCCTGACCTGAGTTGAAGGCAGATGCCTAACCAACTGAGGCACCAGGCATCCCGGAAGCTTTTAATTTTTAAGTAGTGTAATTTATTACTTCTTCTGTTAAAACTTTTGTAGCTGTAGCTTACACAGTTAGGTCTATGATCCATTTGAAATTAGTATTTTCATGGTGTGAAGTATGGATCAAGGTTCATTTGTTCACTTGTTTTCCATATGGATATCCAGTTTTTCCATCACTATTTGTTGAAAAGGCTTTGCTTTTCCCCATTGATTGCATTGTTATCTTTGTTAAAAATTGAATAAGTGAAAAAAGATCTATTTCTGGACTTTCTAATTCTGTTCCATTGGTCTATGTGGAATTGTGTATATTAATACACTTTTGAAAAACTACATGAAGTGCTTTTTAGGTATTGGCATACATAGGAAAAATCTTGCCCATACGTGTTTTGCTAGCATTAGAGATCTTTCTTGTGATCAGCTTATAGCCAATGACATTTGGAGGCTTTTCAGCATGGTTCTCTACATACTTCTATGATGTGTGTGTGTGTGTGTGTGTGTGTGTGTGTGAGACGTAAGATTGATGTTCACTTTTAATTCTTTTATATTTATTTGTAATTAGGAGAAACTGTTTTTTTTTTAAAAGATTTTATTTATCAGAGAGAGGGAGGGAGAGCGAGCGAGCACAGGCAGACAGAATGGCAGGCAGAGGCAGAGTGAGAAGCAGGCTCCCTCCCAAGCAAGGAGCCCGATGTGGGACTCGATCCCAGGACGCTGGGATCATGACCTGAGCCGAAGGCAGCTGCCTAACCAACTGAGCCACCCAGGCGTCCCGAGAAAGCTGTTGTTTTAGTGCAGAATTCTGAGACTAGTAATAACAAAAAATTCAGACACCTTTTTTCTTAAGGTAACATAATTATCTGATATATGTTACAAAGATCTAGATAGAACTTCATCCCACTATCCACCAACAGATGCCTTGGGTCCTTGCAGTGGGAAGGGGAACAGGAAGAGATGTAGCCACATAGAAAATGTAGTGTAGAACATTGCCTGTCATATCAATATCTCTGGAATATGTATCAGTCATATTCAAAAATTTATTAGCACTGGGGCGCCTGGGTGGCTCAGTGGGTTAAAACCTCTGCCTTTGGCTCAGGTCATAATCCCAGGGTCCGGGGATTGAGCCCCGCATCGGGCTCTCTGCTTGGCGGGGAGCCTGCTTCCTCCTCTCTCTCTGCCTGCCTCTCTGCCTGCTTGTGATCTCTGTCTGTCAAATAAATAAATAAAATCTTTAAAAAAAATGTATTAGCACTGTGCTAGATGATACAGGAATTTTACCCTCAGGGAATTTGCCAGTGTAGCTGAAGAATTAAAAGAATTGAAATAAACATAATACAAAGTAATATGTGGTTAATGTTTGCTTTAAGGTCATTAAGAGAATTTAAGATATCTTTATTATAGTTGTCTGTGTTGTGGACCTCAATCATTATTCTGAGTTACAACGAAGCTTAAAGTAAAAAACAGTTGCAATTTGGGAGAAGGTAAGGAATTATAAACTGGAGAGAGTGGCTCTCAGATGTAAATCTTTGTTATTGGATATTGCTTAAACATCACTTATAAATTAAAATTTTTAGGTTTAGGTGAACTACAGTTATGTTTATGGAATTTTCCTCAATACTTATGTGTGAATAGATTTTTATACAGAATTCATCAGAAGTTGAATTATAGAGGCTGGACTCTAGGAAATAAGCTAAGGGTTGCTGGAGGGGAGGTGGGTAGGGGGAAGTAGATAATTGGGTGATGGTCATTAAATTAAGAAGGGCACTTGTTGTAATGAACACTGGGTATTATATGCAACCAATGAATCACTAAATTCTACCTCTGAAGCAATAAAAATAATATAACTGGAGGAAAAAAGGAAGTTGAATTATAAAGAACTCCTAATAAAAGAGGCATTTAATTTTTGTATTTATTGTATTTCATCAGTTTTAAGATGGACCCCTATCTACATACATCTTTTAGCATGTTTTAAAATGCCTGGGTGGCTCAGTCAGTTAAGGGTCTGCCTTCAGCTTGGGTTGTGAACCCGAGGTCCTGGGATCAAGTTCCATATCAGGCTTCTTGCTTGGCGGGGCACCTGCTTCTCCCTCTGCCTGATGCTCCCCCTGCTTGTGATCTCTCTCTCTCTCTGATAAATAAATAAATAAAAATCTTAAAAAAAAAAAAATAAAATCAGGTTGTGGTCCTTAGTTTGGCCAGTGGGGCAGTCCGCAGTCATTGTAGGAACATGTATAAATATCAAAAGTGTTGTCATATGCCTGTAGGGTAAAAGCCGTGCTTCTTAAAACAAAACAAAACAAAAAAACCTCTAGAAAACACTTTTAAAAAAAAATATTTATTTGAGAGAGAGTAAGCGAAAGAGTGAGGACGAAATTGGTAGAGGGAGGGGAAGAGAGAGAGAAGCGGACTCCCTGCTAAGCAGAGAGCCTGATGGGGGCTCAATCCCAGGACCCTCATGACCTCAGCCAGCAGATGTTTAACCAACTGAGCCACCCAGGCGCCCCTAGAAAACACTAAAATACTGCTTTAATATTGCGTGAATGGTTGTGGGGAGAAGATGGGAAAGATAGGCTGGACCTACTTAATTGCAAAGCTTACTTACTGTGGGGCTCTTTAGTTGTTTTATGGATTTTTTTTTTTTTAAGATTTTATTTATTTGACAGACAGAGATCACAAATAGGCAGAGAGGCAGGCAGAGAGAGACAGGGGGAAGTAAGCTCCCCGCTGAGCAGAGAGTCCCATGCGGGGCTCGATCCCAGGACCCTGAGATCATGACCCGAGCCGAAGGCAGAGGCTTTAACCCACTGCGCCACCCAGGCACCTCTGTTTAATGGATTCTTTTAAGAGCTACCAATCTCGTTGGCACATATGATTTTTTATAAGGACGATTCCGGAAATACCAAAGGCTTGGAGACAAAATGATCCAAATTTGGACTGTGACTTTTTATAAAAACACAAAAGTGATATGAGAAAATCAGTACTTAAACCCAAAACAGTTCTTACAATGAATATGCAATATAAATTCCAAATTGTAAAAAAGCATTGATGGAATTTGATAGTAATCTTTGTAGGGGAGTTTTGTCCTTTGCCACTTAATATTCTGTGTTATTTGTTGTTTTTTATTATTTTCATGTGAAGTGGCATAGTCACTCATTTACGGGTTAGTCTCTTCCCACTTAATGAGCTCTGACTCTGGACAGATATTTAACTTCTCTGAGCATCGGTTTGAAAACTAAAATGAGATTACATTTATTTACCTAGTAGCATTATTAAGTTTATTCTTTTTTACTTAAATTCCAAGAGCTTACACATACATTGTCTACTTAAATCTCATAGCATTTTAAGTAGACTGTTTATATATTTTTGGTAAAGTGAAACTTTGATGTTAAGATAATATTCTGATCTTTTCAAACTAGAGAACAGTTAGAAAAAGGTATGTTTCAGTAATGAATATAAGTAACTTTGTTAACTAGTAGGGAGTGAGGAGACAGGCAGATCACTGTCTTTCAGTATGCACAAGGTTGAACGTTCTACTAGAAGATGTGATATGGCAGATGCTTGCAGCTCTGTGAAGAATCCCTGAAAATGTAGGTCACAAATATAGCTTGATAAGAATTGTTTTGTAGGCTACTCAGTGGCATTGCTATTGATGATGCAACTTTTTTCCCCTAAATAATGAACAACTCCTGATAAAGTTATAAACAAAAATAAAATACAGATTTTCTTGACTTACATAGGAGTTGTAGTTTGAAAATAATTAATTTTGTTCTAGAATAGCAAGGAAAAAAAGACTTTGTGTTTATGTGTCAAATGGGCTTAGGTTCTAGGTTAATGTAATTACAATATTTTTTAACCTATTCAAATGTCCGGCTGGAAATTTGGAGGTCTAAACTATTTGTTATGTAGGTCTTTTTGGTGCATTAAGGTTATCCTGCAGTCCTAACGTCTTTTCACTAAATCCCAGTTGTCATCTTCATCTTCTTGACCACTAAAAAACATTTCCTCTGATTTTTTTTTTTTTTAAGATTTTATTTATTTATTTGACAGAGATCACAAGTAGGCAGAGAGAGAGAGAGAGAGAGAGAGAGAGAGAGAGGAGGAAGCAGGCTCCCTGCCTAGCAAAGAGCCTGATGCGGGCGGGACTTGATCCCAGAATCCTGGGATCATGACCTGAGCCGAAGGCAGAGGCTTAACCCACTGAGCCACCCAGGCGCCCCCATTTCCTCTGATTTTAACACTGATCCCAGACTTTAATAACATGTTTGTTGAAAACTAGTGGTTTTAGATGTGTGAAAGGTAAGGAAAATTAAGTACTAGGGAAATAAATAATTATACAACTTATTTCTAATTATGCAGTGACTAAATTTTATTAAGGTGGATAATTTGAAACTTTGGAAATTAAGATGGCTGTATTGTATGTTCTCATTTTTCCTAGTAAAATGAATGAAAATAAACCTGGTGCCTCACAAAATCTCGGTAAGTAAAATACTTAAAACGTTTTCAAATATAATTTAAAATATTAAGATATTTTATTCTTGCTTTTTTATTACAAAAACTTTTTACAATTCTGACTCAAAATACAGGATGAGTTCCCTAATCCGTGCTTTTGTTCATTCATCCATATATGAAAGTATAGTATTACATGTATTCATTTCAACAAAAATCTGCTGTAAGGGGACAATTTGCCAAATTTTATTTGTATTCTCTATTTGTATTTATCATCTTTTTGTATGACTTTCTCTTATATAAAGAAAAATGCAGATGAGACCATTTTAAACTATGGTTTAAATTGTTTAAACATTTTAAACAAAACTTCACATGAAAAGGAAAACTCATCTGTAGGTGCTCACAACAATCTAAAATAGATTCAAAGACTTCTGCTTTTAGTTGTTGATTTCTTCATTTATTAGTTTTAACAGTATGTATTTATTTGCTACCATGGAAAATGAGAAATTTAAGTTGTTTTATTTTATATTCTTTTGCCACTACTCCTCTCATCTACCCTTTTTAAGATTTTTTTTTTATTCCCTCACAAATTAAAATATGATACTTAAAACCCTAATTTGACCATCACTGATAGTATGTTAACTCCACATCATGTTGGGTAAGGAAATTTGTGCTCTTAATCCTCCCTCTACTTTGCTTTTCTGCTTCTACCAGTAGACTTCTGTCCACTGTGCTAATTGTTCTGAAACAGTAATTCATGGTCTACCTTCATGTATTTGTGGACTGAAAATACTACCTTTACTCTTATTCTTCCTTAAGATTGACTTAGTTTTTTACTTATATGAATGTGTTTATGTCATTTTAATACAGCCAGTATCATTTGCCATAGTTAGAAGGTGATCTTAGTTTAGTGAAGTCAGAACAATGTTACTGAATTTTAAATATTAAAATTAAAAAACAACTAAGTGCAAATATGAACAAAAGCAGTCTACTTATAAAAATGCAGGCCTGAAAAAAAAATGCATGCCTAAAACCTAGTCTGTTCTGCATCCAGTGTCTCCATACACTGGATGAAGAGAGGGAAAGGGAACAAATGGAAAAGCTACTGGTCCACAGTGTAACAGCAAAAGCAGCTCCATCCAGCGCTCATCATGAGTACTTCTCAAGTGTCAGCTCATTCCTTGTATTCCTTTTCCTTTTGATAGCTGTATGCACATTTACAGCTAAGAGTATAGGCACTGGGGATGATGGAATTAAGATGAGAGCTGCCGGTATAAGATTTCCAGTAAACAAATGGCAATTTTCTGGAGTTTATGTCAGAAAAAAGGGGAGTTTTAATCTTTTGAAAGATTAAGGAAAGGGCTTTCAGTTATGGCTTATCTCATTAACCTGTAGTGAGGGAGGGCAAATATAGGGGAGATATTTTAATGACATTAAATATTAGCTCATGATGTTTTTTCCCAGTCCTGAAATCTATTTTGTGATTAGCCTGTTAACAAATTTACCATTTCAATGCATGATATCCATTCTTGATTACATATATTGGCTAAATAATTAGTAAATAGAACTAGCTGCTGTAATAGGTAAATGCTGTGGTCTTACTGGTTTAACACAACAAAAGTTTATTACTTCCTTATGTTATAATTCAGTGTGGATTGGTTAGAGGTTGGAACAAATGGGGAGTTTCTGTTCCATGCAATCACTTAGAGATTCAAGCTCCTTTCATCTGCTGTCTTGAGAGTCTCAGTTTTTTCTCTTCAGCTAGTGATTTTCTCATTGTTTTATTAATGTTATTAGAAATTATCTGTAGACGTTAACATCATAAATTAGAAAAGATTGATAATTTTACTAATGTTTATTCAGTTATATGTAGCTACCATGCCCTTTTAATTATACTTGCGACTTCTCCAAGGTTAGACAAGCAAGAATGTAGTGCCAAGATTTAACTCAGATCTCCCTGACTCTACAATTTGCCTTTTTAAATTATTATTGTTATGGTAAAAAAAAAAAAAAAAAAAAAAATATATATATATATATATATATTTATATATAACATAAAATTCATCATTTTAACTATTTTAAAGTGTGCAGTTTGGTGGCAGTTAGTACATTCACAGTGTTGTACAACCATCACCGCTATCTAGTTCCAGAACATTTTCATCATCCCCAAAGGAAACTACCCATTAGGCAGTTACTTTTCATTTCCCTTCTCCTTGGTCCCTGGAAACCACCAATCTGCTTTTTTGTCTGTCTTTGTGGATTTACCTATTCTGGAAAATGTAAGCTATTATATAAAATGGAGTCATATAATATGTGACCTCATGTGCTTGGTTTGTTTTACTTAGCATAATGTTTCTAGTCTCATTCATGTTGTAGTAGGTATCAGTACTTACTTTTTACAGCTGAATAATATTCCATTGTATGGATATAACATATTAATTTATCCAATTCATCCATCCATTGATGGACATTTGGTTTATTTTCCCCTTTTGGCTATTGAGAAAAGCACTGTTACAAATAAAAAACCAGTATTTGTTTGAACATCCACTTTCTGTTCTTTGGCATATATACCCGGGAGTTGGAAGTATTGTGTCATGGTAACTATGTTTAAGTTTTTGAGGAACTCTCAAATTATTTTTCCTAAGTCAGTGTACCATTTTACATTTCCACCAGCAGTGTGTGAGGATTCCTATTTTTCCATATCTTTGCCAGCATTTGTTATTTTTTTTACATTTTGATAATAGCCATGCTAATGGATGTGAAGTGATAGCTCATTGTGGTTTTGATTTGCATTTCCCTGATTATTAAAATAGTAAAGACAGTTAATATCTTTCAGTATGCTCTTTCAATATGCTTATTGGCTAATTATATTTTTTCTTTGGAAAAACGTTTATTCAAATTGAACTACCAAGGCACCCCATCTTTGATCTGTTTTGATTTAATTTTTGTATATGGTGTCAGGTAGCGGTTCGTTTTCATTATCTCACATGTGGCTATCAAGCTGTCCTAGTACCATTTATTGAAGAGACTATTTTTTTCCCCATGAACGACCTTGGCATTTCTTGTTCAAAATTAATTGACCATAGGTATATATGTTTATTTCTGGACTCTTTTCCTGTTGTTCTGTATCACTGTCCTTATGCCACTACAACACTTTTGATTTTGTAGCTTTTTTCTAAGTTTTGAATTTCCTCTATTTTTCTAGGTCAGTCTGGCTAAAAAGTTTTGTCAGTTTTGTTGATCTTTACAGAAAAGGAGCTTTGGTTTTTATCGGTTCTCTATTGTTTCTGTTTTCTGTGTCATCTATCTATTTTTTCCTTCCTTTTAGCTTTTGGCTTAATATGCTCTTATTTTTCTAGTTCTTTAAGGTTAAAATTGTTACTGATTTGGGGGTCTTTCTTTTTTCATACTGGCTTACATAAAGATCATCCATCCTTGAACGTGTGTGCATCCTCTAGATTCCCTGTTATCTGTGGGAGCTTTTAAAGCCTTTATTTCCCCATGTATCTCCTTTTCCCAACTTCTTTCCTTGGTCTTTTGGTCTGTCACCTGCTTGTCCTGTCTGTTCCCCTTTACTCCAGGTGCTTCATCTAGTCTTAAATGCCTTTGGCAGAGAAAGTCCTGAGGCAGGCAAAACAGTGGCAGGCACCTGAGCCCATCCCTCAGGGATCCACCACACAGATCAAACCACATAATCACTTTTCTTTAAGAACGAGGTTCATTTTACCTCCTCTTGGACAGTGCAAACCTGGAACATGGGCCATCGTACCTAAGGCCCTTCATTGCTCAGATGAAGAGTGGGGGATGGTAGGCAGGTAAGTTAAAATGCCACAAAGTGCTCACCGGAATTTACCATTCTGTTTCTTTATTGAGCATTCTCCTAATTGTTGTAATTTTTAAAATTCGATTTCAGAATTTCTGAAAAGTTGATTCTGACATTTTGGCAGCTTAATTTGTTGCTTTATTGGGGAGATAAGAGTTTTGGAGTTTTCTAATCCATTACATTCTGTGATGTTACCCTACAAGTTGCCATTTTAATTATGCACTGGAATTCATCATTAAAATTTATTTAAAAATGTAAAGTCTTAAACAGTGATGTTTATTGCTTTAGAAATAGGTGTTAGAAATTTTTAAGTTACTGATGATATAATGTGATTTGCTCTCTCAGAAAGAATTGAATACATCACTTGAGAGAAGCTCCAGTTCCATAGGTTTTATTTTAAAAATTTAAAAATATTTTTTATATCTATTTACTTTTTTCACTGTTAGCTTGTGTTTTTTGTCGAAAAAATGATGACTGTCCTAATAAATATGGAGAAAAGAAAACTAATGAGAAATGGAATCTCACTGTACATTACTATTGTTTGGTGAGTATAATTTATAATTAAATCCTGGAAATTTGATACTCTTCTAAAGAAGACAATTAGATCTTGATGGCTGGTTTCTGAGAATTGGATAAGTCATTTTGCTTCTCTGGATCTCATTTTGCATATATATAAAATAAGATTATTTATCAAATTATAAGATTGTGAAATTATTTGGTATGTATGTAGGAAGATCTGTCATCATTATCTGTTTATTTTTGCCTACCCTTTAGGGCCTAAATGAAAAAAGGAAAAAAATGGTTAGGTCTCTAAGGGAGTTGTCTTTTTATCACTTTCTTTTTTTCCATTATTGCTAGTGATAAATCTCAGAAAAGAGTTGCTTGAAGGTTCAGGGAGAAGAAGGGAAGTATTTTATTTTGCAGATAACCTAGAAAGAAAAGTTCTAAATAAAGGTACTAAAAAGTTGTGGGCAAGGAAGTAGATGAATTTATGGGTCACTCGGAAGAAAGAAAAAGTGGTTTCGTACTGATAATTAGTCTTTCATTTGTTTCCCCTTCCCTCCACCAACTTTTCACCTCCCTGAATCTGTGTCTTAAGATATTAATGGCACCATCACTGCCTTAGCATGCCAAGACTGCAGCTAATAGACACAGTATTTCTTGATACTGTATGAGTTATATATTGCCATTTAAATTATCCCGAACTTTAGCAGCTTAAACAATTATTATCCTTAACATTTTCTGAGGGTCAGGAATCTGGTATTGGCTGAACTGGGTAGTTCTGGCTCAGGGGCTCTCATGAGGTTGTAAGTGAGATGTCAGCCCAGGTTCAGTCACATGAAGGTTAGACTGGGCTGGAGGATCCACTTCTGATGGCTCACTCACATGGCTTTTGGCCTTAGTACTTAATAACTGTTGACAGGAGGCCTCCATTTCTTACTTTCTGGGTACCTCCATAGGGTACTCACAGCATGGCATCTGGCTTCTTCCAGAGCAAGTGATAAAAGAGGGAGGGAGGGACGAATAGACAAGACACCAAGGTAGAACCATATAACTTAGTTTTCACAGTCACATACTACTGTCACTTCTACTTTATTCTCTTTGTTAGAAGTGAGTCATTAAGGCTAGCCCACATTCAAGGAGAAGGGAGTTAGGCCCCATCTCTTAAAGGAAGAAGTATCAACAAGTTTGTAGATCTGTTTTTATACCTACTCAGCATCCATTTTTAAAACTCTAGATGTTTCCTTGAGAAACCATCTAACATATTTCTTGGTGGTTCTCTAAGACTACAGTTTTGTGTCTCAAGTACTCTGTGGGTTAAATAGATTTCTAGACTGGTCTGGGAACCTAATTACTTTGTACTGAGATTTAAGGGAACATGAACTTGGCATTCCAAATTTGTTTCTAAGTTGGAAGTCTTATATTTTGTATCGCCAAAGGAAACCTTTTCATTTTTTGGAGAGTTTATTTTACTTTTTATGCAGTAGAATTAGGAGAGCTATTTTATTAGTCATTGGGGTTTTTTTTCTTAACCAATTCTTAAGTAATATGTATTTTTTTTTCTCTAGGATATATTATACTGATTAAAATAATCCTCTAATCACAAATTTGAAGTATTTTTGAATTATTTCATATATTTAATTTGATCAAATATCCTTTATATTCTGTTTTTCGTTAATGAATACAATAATTCAAAAGATACCCGTCTTAGGTTCAACACTTACAAGATCCTATTTCACTGTGAACAGGAAAGTGCAGTAATGTTATAAATGGTAATGGAATGTTAGAGCCTAAAGAGACTTAGAAACAACCTAGTACAGTTTTTATTTTTGTGTTTAAGGTGAGAGACATTAAATTACTTGCCTGGAGTTCCAGAAAGTTGGACACAGAGCCTGGTTTGCAAGCCAGAATTTCTTAGTCACAGTTCTTTTTTTTTTTTTTTTTTTTTTTAAATTTTTTTTTTTTTTTTTTTTCTGAGAGGGGGAGGGGGAGTGAGCACAAGCAGATAGAGTGGCAGGCAGAGGCAGAGGGAGAAGCAGGCTCCCTGCTGAGCAAGGAGCCCGATGTGGGACTCGATCCCAGGACGCTGGGATCATGACCTGAGCCGAAGGCAGCGGCTTAACCCACTGAGCCACCCAGGCGTCCCCTTAGTCACAGTTCTATGTGTTTTCTTGATTCATATTTCCTTAACATATTTAAACTATAGTTAAAAGATTTTTAAAGACTCAAACATTTATGTTAACCATGATTCATTAGGTTTCCGTAAATACACCTTTTAAGATTGAGAATCCAGCTACATTTAAAGTTAGCCTGAAATATCACTGATAAACTGAATTAGCTCCTAAAAGTTTACTATTATTACATTTACACCTTTCAGCATTTGCCACCTTTTTTTCCTAAATCTTTTTTTTTTTTTTTAAAGATTTTATTTATTTGACAGACAGAGATCACAAGTAGGCAGAGAGGCAGGCAGAGAGAGACGGGAGGAAGCAGGCTCCCTGCTGAGCAGAGAGCCCGCTGCGGGGCTCGATCCCAGGACCCTGGGATCATGACCTGAGCCGAAGGCAGGGGCCTTAACCCACTGAGCCACCCAGGCGCCCCCCTAAATCTTCATTATAGATGTTTTCTACCTTGCATTCTTCCTTTTTCTGTTATTTCCTGGAATACTTTTAGAAATCACTTTGGTTCCAAATCAAAGAATGTGAGTAGCCTCTTACTTTGATCATGAAATATGACTATTATAGAAAGGGTTGCTTGAAATTTTCTAAGTTATGTCCATTTTTTATTGGAACATTATATATATTATATGTGTATATTAATATATATAAACACACATGCATTATATATATTTATATATTCACACATTTTGCATATATATGTATATAAATACATATATGTGTGTATATATATTCTAATTTCTTGAAGTCTGTTTTCTAATTGAGAATATATTTATAGTTGATGTCAAGTGGAATTTGGCAGAGAGGTAAAGAAGAAGAAGGAGTTTACGGTTTTTTAATAGAAGACATCAGAAAAGAAGTGAACAGGGCTTCTAAACTGGTAAGTAAATTCTTTTATTCATTATACTAAATACCATAAATATAATCATACTAGGGAAGTTTTTTCTGTTCTGGAAACCTAAAAGACTTTAGTTTTATGTTCAAATGCTTATTTTTGTCAAATAAGGGAAGTTTTAGAAGAAATTGTTGTAAATTTTAAAAGAACTATTTGCAAATTTACAAAAAAGGGTTTTTTTGGGTAAATTTTAGAAGAACTATTTGCAAATGAAAGTGAGATTAACCAACCCTGAATAATATATGTGACAGTGCTATTTTCACGTCCTTATTTTATTCCAACCTATCCATCATTTCACCCACTCTTACCATCAGAATAATGACCATACTTCCACTCAGTCAACCTGGATGTTCACCTTTCATTCTTACACCTCGGTTGTTGGGTCGACATGATGGGTTGAGGTGAAAATTACACAGCTATGCAGACCAGTAATTTATGATATCTCCATCTCTTGTGGACATTCTGTGACATTGTGTACCTTTGTTCATTGCCTTCTCATGTTCTTCAAGATAAGTATTCTACACTTTAACCCCTTGTTCATTTAATTGTAGTTTGTGAATCTTCTCTTTGATACCTACTATATTAAATGCAAGAGAGGATTTTAGGTTTCCATTTGGTCTGAGTAGGAATGAGTTAGAAAATGATAAGGTTAAAAAAATAATGTTGGAAGTACAGGGAATTTCTTCAGAGAATATAGCTGGAACTGATGGTTTCAATGGAGGAGCAGTTTTGGGTAGAGACTTCATTATTATACTGGAGTAGTGATAGAAGGTATTGACCCATCATAGTTGAAGGAGTCAAAGGTTGTCTCATCAATGTAGAAGTTGTTTACAATGGTAGCAAGATAAGATGTAGAGAAAGGTGCCAAAGTGTGGAGGAAGTTAGTAGGTGGCAGAGGTTAAATAGCATCAGGCTCAAAGGACCAGATTCTTTAAAGTATGAAGGCAAATTTGTGGCCTACAGCCTGCAACAGAGAACTAAAATAATGTTCTGATCCCCCCACCGCCCTTGCCTTTTTCCATATCCTGCTCCTAACCCTTGCCAAGTCTGGATGAGAGTAAAGGAGGATGGGAAAATAAGTAACTTCAAGAAATCCTATCAGGGAAGCAACCATATAGAAACCTTTATTTTAGTTGAGGCAAAAAAAAAAAAAAAAAAAAAAAAAAAAAAAAAAAAAGATGAGGATTCTGGGGACCAGATGGTAACATAGAGGCTATGGGACACAAGAGAAAATCTTGGGAGAACGGTTAGCAATGGCATTTATCTAAGGACCATGTGAGAGTATTTGTATTAAAATTCCTCAACCTCCTGATGATAGTGAACTTGTGGTGAAAGATGACCTCAAAAGGTCTCCTTGCATTTTGGAAATACCTGGGGGTATTTATTTATTTATTTATTTTTGAAGATTATTTTTTAAATTATTATTAACATGCAATATTTGTTTCAGGGGTACAGGTCTGTGATTCATTAAGCTTTCACAATTCACAGCACTCACCATAGCACATACCCTCCCCAGTGTCCCATCTCCCAGCTGCTCCATCACTCCCATCCCCTTCCATTCCAACAACCTTCAGTTTTGGAAATACCTGTTTTCTTAAAACATCTGAATCCTCTCTGACTATATTGTGACACACACCCCCTTTTAAAGATTATTTATTTTAGAGAGCACCATCAGGAAGGGTAGGGGGAAGGGGAGAGAGAATTTCAACAGATTCTGCACTGAGCATGGAGCCCAAGTTGGGATTTGACTATGCAACTCTGAGATCATGACCTGAGCTGAAACTGAGTCGGATGCTCAACCTACTGTGCCACCCAGGCTCCCTTGTTGTGAACCTTGGAGAATATCTTTATCCTGAAGAAGTTGTCTCCATTTGTGACATTAAGCTAGAGTTCCTTATGTCAGTTTACTGGAAGAGCCTCATGTTGGCAAGGTATTCTCCAGTAACCTAGTGTTACTTCATGGGTGTGTTTAAGACTGTATAATCCCTTCATCAGTGACCATTTTATAATGGCTATTTCAAGGGTTCCAAGATGTTTTAGATACTGCTCTGTATCTTAGTAATGACTGAATCATCTAATAGTCTTTGTGTTCATATACCACTGTTTTATTTTAGTTAGTGGCAGCAGTACTGTATTTTTTTCCTTTGAGCTACCATAATAAATTACCACAAACTGAGTCATTTAAAACAGAAGTTTGTTCTCATAATTTTGGAGACTAGAAATTTCAAATCAGCCTCTCAGAAGGATTGGTTCTTTCTGGGAGCTCTGAGGGAGAATCCCTATTTGTGCTTCTCTCCAAATTTCTGGTGGGTGCTGGTAACCTTTGGCATTACTTGGTTTGTGGCAACATAACTCCAGTCTCTGCTTCAGGCTTCACATGTTCACATGGTCTTCCCGTCTGTGTGTATATGTCTTAAATTTCCCTCTCCTTTCACTTATAAGGACACTGGTCATTTGATTACGGACCATCCTAAATCCAGGATGGTTTCATCTTGAGATCTTTAACTTAATTACATTTACAAAGACCCTGTTTCTGGGATGCTTGGGTGGCTCAGTCTGCTAAGTGTACCATGCTTGGTTTTGGTCAGGTCATAATCTCATGGGTGGTGAAATTGAGCCCCAAGTTGGGCCCTGTCTTTGGTTGGGAGTCTGCTTGAAGATTCTGTCCCTCTGCTTCTCTCCCAACTTGCACAGGCACTAGCTTTCTCTCTCTAAAATAAATAAATATTTAAAAACAAAGACCCTATTTCTATTTTTTTTTAAAGATTTTATTTATTTATTTGACAGAGATCACAAGTAGGCAGAGAGGCAGGCAGAGAGAGAGAGGAGGAACCAGGCTCCCTGCCAAGCAGAGAGCCAGAAGTGGGGCTTAATCCCAGGACCCTGGGATCATGACCAGAGCCGAAGGCAGAGGCTTTAACCCACTGAGCCACCCAGGTGCCCCCAAAGACCCTATTTCTAAAGGAAATTCATAGGTACCAAGAATAAGGACTAGAACATATCTTTTGTGGGGGATGAGGGGTGTCACTATGTAACGTTACGGGTATGTAATACTCTTTCATTTGGTTAGGATAGGGTGAGCCTAGCTGATTTATTTTCACAGATTGGTTTTTCGTGTTGTTTTGCTGTTCTCCTTGATGAATATTTCCTATTAATGTGGTTTTTTTTTCCTTTTTTTTTCTTAAGATTTTTATTTATTTGACAAAGATCACAGTTAGGCAGAGAGGCAGGCAGAGAGAGAGGAAGGGAAGCAGGCACCCCGCTGAGCAGAGAGCTTGATGTGGGGCTCGATCCCCGGACCTTGGGATCATGACCTGAGCTGAAGGCAGAGGCTTTAACCCACTGAGCCACCCAGGCGCTGCCTCCTATTTATGTGTTTTTTTTTTAATTGAGATTTGAGACTTTAATGTATAGCCATTATGTTTACAAACATTTAGTTGAAAATATTTTAACCAGTTAGGAAGGAAAAGAAGCTTCTCTGTCCTATCCACATGTTAGATTAGAGATGACTCTTACCAGAAATTGTTATAGGAGTGAGTCTTTAGTGTCCTTAGACTGTCTCTGTGTAGAAAAGGTTTTTTTGGAAATTGCTTTAATAAACCATCATCATAGCTGTTGTGTGATGAAAATAATTTTCAGACTCCCCACAGGAATATTGACTTATACCTTAGTCATACTATATTACTCAGATTTTGTATGTTATGTCCTCTGCTTCATATTTTCTTCTAGAAATGCTGTATTTGCAAGAAGACTGGTGCTTCAATCGGATGTGTTACACCCCGATGTAAACGAAGTTATCATTTCCCATGTGGACTTCAGAGAGAATGTATTTTCCAATTTACTGGCAATTTTGCGTAAGTTAATCATTGAATATGAAAGATAAGTGTTAAGGAAAGGTGGAAAATGGATATGGATATCCCAATGATATAAATCCTTTGTAAAATTTCTTTTCAGAGCTGTACTGAGTTTACATGTATATGTTACATAATATATAAATATGTGTGTGTGTGTGTGTGTGTGTGTGTGTGTGTGTGTGTGTATATTTTTTTTTATTGCTTCCCTCTTCCTTTTTGGAGTCATCTCTATCTGAAAAGTCTTGGGTACTGCCAGTCTTAAATGGGCTTAACAATTAATATTCACCTTTAATTTTCAGCTCTAGAATATAATATGAAACTGTTAACTTATTAATATTTTATAAAAATTTCCAGCTTACATAATTCTAGATTTTTATGTTACTCTTTAGATTTATGGTCCACTCTTCTTCCAAAGGCCATATGTATTTCTCATTGAGTAAATTGAAGGCACTTAAATTTGGTGGAGTCCAAAAAAATTAATACTGTGCCCTGGAGTGCTCCTTACAGTATTTACTTTCTGGATCCAGCTTTAAACATCAAGATTTATGAATTTTGGTATTTGATTTTATGAATGTTCTATTTCTTTTAGTTTTTGTGTTCTTGACTTATTTAATGGATTGTTAGCATGTATAAAACTGGACTTTAGCAAATGGAAATAAATTTAGTGGGTTAGGAATAGGCTTTTATTTATATTTTATGTTACATAATTAAAATATTTCTTTTTATGTTCCCTCTTTAATTTTATGTAATATTGAGTATAATGGTGTTGCTAACAATATTACATAGAATTCTCAACATAATACTAGTTACTGAAATTCTAGGAGTTAAGACTTTTTTTCCTTTTTAAGATTTTATTTATTTAAGAGAGAGCAGTAGCAGGGAAGAGAGGGAGAAGCAGGCTTCTCACTGAGTAGGGAACCCAACATGGGGCTCAATCCCAGGATCCTGGGATCGTGACCTGAGACAAGGCCAGATGCTTAATCAACTGATCCAACCAGGTGCCCCTCTATGAGTTAAGTCTTAGCACCAAAAGGTTCACATTCTGAAAGTCCTGCTCTCCTTGGTCATAGTTTGTGAGACTGATTAAGAATGCCAAAGTTCCAGTCTTGTAGGTTAATTATGAGGGAGATACAACTGAGTTTCCTCTTATAAATGTGAATTGTAATGCTATTGCTAGCCTCATTGTGTTTTGTAATTTATTAGGTGTTGTTTTTAAATAATTTACATTTTTAGGTCATTTTGTTGGAAGCATCGACCTGTTCAAATAATTACATCTAATAATTATAGAGACTCCTTACCATGTACCATTTGTTTGGAATATCTTGAGCCTGTTCCAACTTACAACATATTACGAAGTCCTTGTTGTAAGAATGCTTGGTTTCATAGAGACTGTTTACAGGTAAGTTCTTTTCTAGGCTTTTTCTGATACAAAATTTGTTCCTTGCTGATTTGAATTTTATTTAAGTTTATTTACTTACTGATTTATGTAATCTCTACACCCAACATAAAGCTCAAATTCATGATCAAGAGTTGCATGTTCTTCTGACAGCCAACCAGGCACCTCATGTAAAGAGTTGACCTGTGTCAACCTCTACTTGTAACTTAAAAACAGCTTTATTAGAGCATATTTTACATATAAAATTTGTTCTATTAAAGTGTACAACTAATATTTTAATAAATACCTTAGAACACTACCTTTTAATGTATATTTACACTTAAAAGTTTTTGTTGTTTTGACCTAAGGATTTTGTTTGTATTTCACAATGAATAAAACACAGATTTAATTGCCAAGTTCATTTACATATTTAAGCTTAGAAAACCAAGATATGTGAAATGATAATTTAGTGGGAAGCTTAAATATTTAAATGTTGAGGCCTTTTAAAGAAAAACAACTATGGTAAACACTTTATCACAGCTTCTTGACAGGAACTGATTACTGTTTATTGAATTAAAGGTATTCTTTTTGAATGCCACCTTATATGTCAAACCTGATGAGCTGATGTTTTGATTTTTTTTTTTTTTTAAGATTTTATATAGTTATTTGAGAGAAAGAGAGAATATGAGCTGGGGAGGGGGGAGGGGAGGGGGACCTGAGGGTGAAGGAGAAGCAGACTCCCTGCTGAGCAGGGAACACAACTCAGCCGAGGGAACATGACCTGAGCTGAAGACAGATGCTTAGCCAACTAAGCCATCTAGGCGCGCCTAATAACGAGTTTTTAGGCAAATATCATAAAACATACAACATTAAACACTTTAATATTTATTTGATTTAGAAAATTCTTGAAGATTTTAGGAAGATCTCACTTATTAATGACATCAAATATAATAGTGTACATGTGTGAAAGTGCCAACTGATAGACAATTACAGTTAATAGAATGCCAAATTAACAAAGGATTTAATTAAATTTAACACTTTTTTTAAGAGCTTGACTTTTATTATTGTTTAGTAAAATAAAATGTTATTAATGATTACAGGTTATTCACAAAAGTATTTTTGAAAGTTAGGGGAGGTTGTAAATGCCCTTATATTTCAAGAAAGTCTTAAAAGTACTAATAATAGTCAAAGTACATGAGTGAATCGAACAATAGACAGTAATTATGCCACAGTAGTGATCACTCAACCTAGTGCAAAATATACTTTCAAAATTATAGTTTATCCTACTAAACCCCTGCAGTTTCACTAGGGGTGATGTCCCCTGCCTTTGAAGTTACAAATCTTCTACGCCATCTTGATTATATGTAGAAACAGAGTATTCAGTATCTTAATGGACCATACTTTATAGCACACGTGGATAGAATGCGTGAAGCACAGAAGTTGAGTATGGGATTTGATGCTGCTGCCTACACTCAAGGTCTGTTGGTACACCAAAAGACCAGAATGGAACGACTTCAAAGAGAACTTGACATTCACAAGAAAAAGCTGGGTAAACTAAAATCTGAGGTCAAAGAAATGGAAAATAATCTAATTCAAAGGTACCTGAAAAGATCAAATTCCGTATATCAAATACCTTCACTCAGAGAAAGGCAGCAGTTGAGAATCTGTAATAGACAACTCCAGATTAACATTGACATTAACAAAAGAAATTGTCTTTTTCAGGTACAAGGACCACATTTTATTTTTAGTACTATTCGTGACTTTATGACAGAATTGGATTTGTAGATCCTCTACCACTAAAACCCAAAGATCAAGGGTCCACCATTAAAACACCAAGGACTCATTTTTTCCTTCCCTACCCCTCAAACCCTCCACCCTGCCTCTCAAATTCCTCATATCAGGGAGATCATATGATAATTGTCTATCTTTGATTGACTTATTTTGCTCAGCATAATGAAACAAGATGGGATCGGGAGGGAGACAAACCGTAGGAGACTCTTAATCTCTCAAAACAAACTGAGGGTTGCTGGGGGTATCGAGACAGCTGTTGGGTTTTGGACATTGGGGAGGGTATGTGATGGTGAGTGCTGTGAGGTGTGTAAGCTTGACGATTCACAGACCTGTACCCCTGGGCCAAATAATACATTATATGTTAGTTAAAAAAAAACAAAAACAAAAACAAGGACTCAAGACACAGAAAATGATGAGGGGTCTCCATGGAATTGTACTGCCTGTATTTCTTTGAGTCATACTTGACTGCCTCAATCTGCTGTGAACAGTGAAAGATGCCAAGGCATTTCTGAGCCAAAAGGCCCTATATCTCTAAAATCACATCTGAAGTTCAAGAAACTAGTCTGTCGTCAAAGTTCTACAGCCTCCTAGGATTTTGTCAAATTGAAGGTGTGGCAAGATGGTGCTCTGCTAATGTTAAATAACAGCCCACAGAGGTAGTAATACCTCAGTCCAATGTCATGGACAGTTGAAATTCGTCCCGTGAATGGTAATCTGCTGAAGATTTGATTGCCTGCTTCCTGATCATGTACAGTGTTCTCAGGAGCCCATTGTGGATAATTCTCAATGTATTAATGCCTAGGTGTTCCCAGCACCTTTTTTTTTTTTTTTTTTTTTTTTTAAATTCAAGTTAGTTAAGATAAAGTGTAATACTGGTTTCAGGAGTAGAATTTAGTGATTCATTGCTAACATATAACCCTCAGTGCCCAATACCTTTGCCTCTCATGTCACTACTGAATTTTGATAGGGTGAAGGAATAGAACAGTGGCTTTCTTTCTTTTTTAAGATTATTTGAAAGCTAGAGTGTTGTGGGGGAGGGGACAGAGGAAGAACAGGGAGAAAGAGAATCCTCCAGCAGACTGCCTGCTGAGCCTAGAACCCAACATGGGGCATGATCCCTGGACCCAGAGATGATGACCTGAGCCAAAATCAAAAGTCAGCCACTTAACTGACTGAGCCACCCAGGCACCTCATACCTTTCTTTCTTTTTCTTTCTTTCTTTCTTTTCTTTTTTTTTTTAAAGCCTTAGGTGAAACACTACTTACATTAAGAAAAGAAACAAGGTTTAATTCTTTAAAAACTGCTGCCTCATGGTGCCATTGGACAGGGGACAAACTTCATGATTTCCTGGTACTCTTGGCCTTTTCTTTGTCTGCCCTAAAAATGTCTCCACTCTGTGAAGCCAGCCTGCATATAGGGTATAAAGATGAAAAGGAAAGCAGCATGCATTGTCTATAAAAACATACAGTGAAATATCCCAAAGCTTTTCCTACTGTACCAGTCTCTTGAGTTTAAGTGATTTCTTTCCTTCTTTATTGTTTTCTTCTATTTCTATATGTATAGTACAGTAGTCTTTTGTTAACTGATTTTCTTTTCCCCTTTTAGTGATTAAGCACGATCGTGTCCCTTTTTAAGCCTTACCTGAGAGAAGTGCCTTAAGATAAAATTTTTATTTCATTTCATTTAGTGAAATGAAACTGCACAAAATAACTTTCCTCTGCTTATTCTGTACTTTGCCCTTGTCAGTGCTGATGTTCTACGAAGATGCAGACAGATGGTGCCCAGTGAACTGCAGGAAATATTACAAGACTCATGTCTACAAAGTCACACCATATATTGACTTTAGCAGTAGGTGACACGACACAGTGTGAATCTTCCACAGGGAAGCTTAAAATATATTTAACCCAATGATAGAGCAACAAGGTTAAGCTTGTTTCATCTGCCTGGTGTCCCTTGTTTCATCTGGAAATTACTATTGGGAAAGTACAGTTTTCAAAACCAGCAATAGCAGCAGTACCGACAGTCTTGGTTTCCAGAGAGGTTTAAATGCCTTACTGTTGGGACCCTCAGTATCTAAACATAACGTGATGGCAGTATCGTGTATTTGTAAACCAAAGCTAATCATATTTAGGACAACTGAAGAAAAGCTGGAAAAAGAAAAAGCAAAATTTGAACACTGAAGCAACCTTAAGCCATCTCTTTATTCTGATAATATATTTTTATAAAGAGCAAATATTCAGATGGCCAGGAATATATATAACTAATATATAACTAAATGAAATCAAGAAAAAGAAATAACTATACATTAAAAAAACAATTATGAAATTATATATCCATACTTACAGTGGGGTGAAGGGAAGTGCTGAAAATGTAACAAAAGGTAGGAGATCATGATGACTAACATGCAAATGGATATTTTTAAAATAAGTAGGATTATTACAGGTGATTTATATAAGTATCAAATCCTTGACTTCCAGGCTTAGCATCTGGTATATGGGAAGAAGTATGACAATTCTAGTTAATGAAACCATAGAACCAAAGCCCTTATATATGTGGTGCATTTTGTTTTAAAACTACGCCTTCATCTGCAGTCTGTGTGAAGATTGATTAAACTATTTTTACTTGTTTTACTAATAAAAACATAATTTGGATAAAGAAAAGTACTTGATTAATTTTTCACATGAGGCTTGAACTTTTTTATATTTAGGATTATTCTGTTAAAAGTGTCAGGATGAAGCCTATTTTGTTGGTTAAATTTTATAAATTTTCTTTCTTTTTTTTTAAGATTTTTATTTATTCATTTAACAGAAAGGGAGAGTACAAGCAGGGAGAGCAGCAGGCAGAGTGGGAGGGAGAAGCAGTCTCCCTGCTGAGCCAGGAGCCGGATGTGGGATCCATCCCAGGACCCTGGGATCAGGACCTGAGCAGCTGCTTAAGGAACTGAGCCACCCAGGCGTCCCTATATTCTGTTACTTCTTATAAAGAAGTATTTGTAAAAGTATCTAGGGAATGTAGTTCATAAATACCATAAAAACTTATCTTTACCTAATGAGGAACAATTTCACATTGTATGAGAATTTTACAAAAGTAATTTACCTTAATTAAGAGTTTGTATTTGAATGAATGTAATTGCTGTCAAATATGTCATCTTGTTAATTTTATAAGGGCATGTTATTTTTCAAAACAATTAAGATTTGCCTCAGTCAACAAATAAGAAAATAAAAAAGATTTGCTTCAGTTATTTGTTAGTAATGAAATGCAGAGAGGTTCTCAAACTTGGCTCTAGTATTCATAGAGCTTTTTGTGAGCACTGAAAATACCAAATTTCTAATCCTGTCATTAAAAAGTGAAAATAGGGCGCCTGGGTGGCTCAGTGGGTTAAGCCCCTGCCTTCAGCTCAGGTCATGGTCTAAAGGTCCTGGGATTCAGTCCCGCATCGGGCTCTCTGCTTGGCAGGGAGCCTGCTTCCTCCTCTCTCTCTCTGCCTGCCTCTCTTCCTATTTGGGATCTCTCTCTGTCAAATGAATAAATAAAATCTTTTAAAAAAAATTAAAAAAAAAGTGAAAATATTATTACTTAATGTAGGTCTACTTTATGCAAATGTAAAACAAAATCACAGCCATATGGACACTTCCCTATGACATAAATATGAACATGCAATTGTTACTTGATTAGAGACCAGTAAGAACTAATTCTTGAGTCATGTTCTGTAAAGGAGCTACAGTGCCTTTTCCATTTTGTCACAAGTCTTAACTGTAATAGTGAATGGAGTCTACCCTGTTATATAACAATACCTGAAGAAAAATATTTTTATTCTCTGAACTTCATTAATACAAGAGTTGAAGGAAGAACAGTCCTATAAATAGAATGAGAATTGTATGTAGTTAAGCATATTTCATCTTTTGTAGCCTCTACAATGCTATATACATTGGGATTTTATAAGGAGAGAGTGAAGATTAGTATTTTAAAGCTAACTTCTCATTCTGTGTGTATAGAGAATTGCCACTATTTTTTTTTAAAGATTTTATTTATTTATTTGATAGAGATCACAAGTAGGCAGAGAGGCAGGCAGAGAGAGAGGAAGAAGCAGGCTCCCTGCTGAGTAGAGAGCCCGATGCGGGGCCTGATCCCAGGACCCTGGGATCATGACCTGAGCCGAAAGCAGAGGCTTTAACCCACTGAGCCATCCAGGCACCCCGAGAATTGCCACTGTTGTTCAATTTGGATTTCTCCATCATTGCAGTGGTCTTGTATCTTCTTTATGCCCTATGTGGGTTGTTTTTTTTTTGTTTTTGTTTTTGTTTTTTTTTTGGCTCCATACTAGGCACTCCCTTGTATCATATCTATTTACTAAGATCTTGATATCTGTGTACAATTATTACTAAAGGCCTTTTAGGTTCAGACATTTCAGTAACTGGTTGCTTTCCTCCCACATTCTTTGTGTGTATGTCCCACTTGGGACTAATTTTTTTGTTGTTTTGTTTTTAATTTTATTTATTTAAGTAATCTCTGCATCCATTGTGGGACACAGACCTATGACCCCGAGACCCAAGAGTTGCATGCTCTTCTGACCGCTCCAGCCAGGTGCCCCGCTGCTAGTGCTTTTTGAACCTGAATTCTTTTGTTTTCTTCATCATTCATAAACCATCCCCAAGTCTATCAGGTCTACCTAATAGATATTTTCTGTATATCTTTTTTTGTTCCTAACCTCTGCCTTAAACCCTCTGTGATATAACTTTAGACACTTAAAAAAAAATAACTAGACTTTTGGAGGGGCCTACTAACTGGCCTTTTCTCCTGCATACCTTAATCTATATTAATTCTTCACATACAATATTGGCTTTGATTTTTCTGTCTAGTCTCATTACTGAGTTAGACACATAATGTAATTGCCATTATGTAATCCCTAAGCATATTATTAATTAGTTCCCTGATCATGTTGTACTCTTGCCATAGAGACTTGGTATATGCAATTCCCTATCCTTGTAATGCCTTTTGTCCCATTTTCCTGGCAAACCTTTGTTTCTTCTTCCAAACTTAACTTTGACCTCACTATTCTTTTGACATTTTTGTCAGGCTCTTATGTAGGCTTAGGTACTTATTCCTTTCTCTTCCATGTATATACTTTAAAACACACACACACACACACACACACACACATTTTACAAAGTCATATAATTGTATCTCACCATTATTCCTTAAAAATAGGATCTAAGTTATTTTGTTTCTATTTTTGGTACATAAAATAGTGTTTGTTACCTACACAGTACGAGTTAAATAGCTGCTAAATGTGCGCTACTAGTTTTGTTTTATTTAGTTTTGTTTTTAGGGATTGGCTACTCTTTCTAGTAGGTTTATACTTTTCTGTTCCTGAGTTCCCGCTGTCTGTGGCTTCCGTATATCTGTTTACTGAAGCAGTGAGAGTAGGTTTTATACTTCTCCCCTTTTAGGAAAAAAACTAGCTTAGAGATTGAGTTAAAAACAGAATCAAGGATTGTTTTATAAAGTAACACTTAAACATTCCTCCTAGATGAAGTAATTCAATATTCTTACTGCTTTATTCACTAAGAGTGATGGACAGCTTGATATGTGGGGAAATGACATTGAATAAAAAGGTTGAGAAAGATAGATGTAAAGCTAAGAACAGCCAATTCATTAACTTTTTGGGGGGGGGGAATCTCAAAATTTTAGCAGTAGAATAACTTCATTTACCAAAGCTTGAGAACTGGCATAGAAAATATGTTTTCATAATATACTAAGTGAAAAGTAGCACATATTCTGTTAGCTATTATAATTTATGACCTGATACCCGGTTAAATTGTTAACAGTAGATTTCCTTTTTTCCGTGATAGGTTCAAGCAATAAATGCAGGAGTGTTTTTCTTTAGATGCACAATATGCAATAATAGTGATATATTTCAGAAAGAGATGCTAAGAATGGGAATTCATATTCCTGAAAAGTGAGTACCATTTAGTCTTTTAACAAAAAGATTTATTTTCGTTAAATGTAGGATTTAATAACAGTTAAAGTAATCACTTATGTCTATCATAGAGAAGCAGTCATTTTAAATGAGGAAATTGAAACCTACCCCTACCACGGCTTCCTTTTCCTTCCCAGATTGCTAGTTCTTAAGAGCAGGGACTGTGACTTTAATGTCTCATTAGTTGACTTATAGTCTCTTAATAAATACCTCAAGTGTATACAATATTAATTGATTGACTTATACACAAGTATAATCAGATTTCAAAATGGCATGTATAAATTAAGAGAAGATGTGGTTTAAAATATATAATAAGGATTTTCATAATACTTATAGATGAGGAATCCAGAAATAATGTTATTAAACTTGAAATTTAAAAATTAGAAGTGAAATATTAGGAGAAATTAAGTTCTAAAAAATTTCTAATGTTTCATTTAACATTTGAAAATTCACTGTGAGAATAATTAACTGCAGGATAAAATGATACTAATAGATACATATCTTGAACAGAATGATGAATCCTAGAAAGAAAGTTTTTTCCTTGCTCCTAAGTGCGTGACAAGTTTTTGTTTTTAGATTTCATTACTAATCCTTTTATGTAACATTTTGGTTCAAAGTGTGTTTTATATCTTTCTTTGTTTACAGAGATGCATCTTGGGAATTAGAGGAAAATGCTTATCAAGAACTTCTGCAGCACTATGAGCATTGTGATGTCCGAAGATGTCGTTGCAAAGAAGGGCGAGACTATAATGCACCTGATAGGTATATTGGGAAGTCCAGTTGTGCTTATTGTACTTATTTAAACTGTCAGCTAAGGAAGTGGTTTTCTAGTTAAATGTAGTTTTGCTCTTAGGATGTTTGAAGTTTTAACTTGAGAAGAGTATATTTATTAAATGCATGTTTACATCTGTTTACAGATAAATTATTGCTATCAGCATAGTTGGTAACTTACTTCTGTGGTGTATTTTCATGAGGCTTCATTTCCTAGAGCTGCACTCCCCTATATGGTAGCTACTAGCCACATGTGGCTAATAGAGCACTTGAAATGTGGCTATTCCAAATTGAGAGATGTTATAAATGTGAAATATAGTGAAGACTCATTGTCTTAATTTGCTATGGCTGCTGTAACAACAGATACTTGTTTTCTAACAATCCTACAGACTAGAAGTTCAAAATAGAGGTATTGGCAGGTTTTACTTCCTCTCTCATTGGCTTGCACATGGTTTCCTACTAGCTGTGTCCTCACATTATTGTCCCTCTGTCTGTCCTAATCTCCTTTTCCTATAAGGACACCAGTAATATTAAATTAAGGCCTACCCTTATGACTTTATAATATCTTAATTATCTCTTTGAAGGCCCTGCTCCAAATACACATAGTGAGGTGTACTGGGTTTTAGGACTTCAACTTATAAATTTAGAGGAGACACAATCCAGCCCATAATAGTAAGACAAAAAGAACTAAGAGTATCTTATTAATAACTTTTTATATTCATTACATGTCAAGCAAATAATAATTTAGAAATGTTGAAATTCATTTTACCTACTTCTTTTACCTTTTTAAATCAGGTTACTAGAAAAATTTAAATTCATTAAATGACTTGCATTGTATTTCTATTGGATGGCACTGTTCTAGAGCTTAAAGTAATCTAGCAGTGTTCTTTTGGATCACTATAAAAAGGGTTTGATATTTGAAATTTATTGATTATTATTTTGAAATGTCAGTAGATACTGCCTCTAAATTGACCCATTATTTTGTGCCTTCCATGTACACTATACTGTGTTGGATACTAGAAATCCAAACTGTCTTCATTTTTTTTTTTTTAAAGATTTTATTTATTTATTTGACAGAGATCACAAGTAGGCAGAGAGGCAGAGAGAGAGAGAGGAGGAAGCAGGCTCCCCGCTGAGCAGAGAGCCCAACTCGGGGCCTGATCCCAGGACCCTGGGATCATGACCCGAGTTGAAGGCAGAGGCTTTAACCCACTGAGTCACCCAGGCGCCCCAAGACTGTCTTCATTTTTTAAGATGCAGAATAAACAGTAACAAATCCAGTTTTCTTGAATTTATGGAGGATATTTCAATAAATTTTTAATATCTGTTATACAATCTTAACATCGCAAGCTGAAACTTAAAATGCAAGGCAGAATATTGGGAGCCTTGTTTCTCATGGAAAGTGATTTGGCTGAGTATGCTATTATTTGCAAAGACGCAGCTGATGTCTTCCCAGTTTTGAAAAATTTCCCTAAACAGCTATTACCACTCATGATTTCCCATTCTGGGCTGGGTTTTTTCTTTTGTTTGCCTGTTACAGTGTAATTGACATTATTGGAATTTGTTTTTGTCATTAGACTAAAAATTATTTAAGGGCAAAGATCTTACTGAAGATGTCAGGTATGGTATATTCTTGCTTATGTGACTGGTGACCCTGATTATTCGTTTGTAAACCTCTAAAGGGTTGTGCTAAGGCACAGATGAGATAATGTATATAAATGTGCTTTGTAAATAATAAAGCACTTTAGATTTGTAAGAAACAATACATTTACGAATATTGATATTTTCTAAATTTATTTTGGGCTATTTTTTTTTAAAGACTTTATTTATTTGACACAGAGAGAGAGAGCATGTGAGCACAAGATGGCAGGGGGTGGGGGGAGCAGCAGATAGAGGGAGAGAGAGAAGCAGTCTCCTGGCTGAGCAGAGAGCCTGGTGAAGAGCCCGATCCCAGACCCTGGGATCATGACCTGAGCCCAAAGGCAGACACTTAACTGACTGAGCTACCCAGGTGCCACTATTTTGGGCTCTTTCAGTTAACCTGTATATATTGCTTATATATTATTGATCGCCCAGTCAGTAGCTACCAAATTCCCTTCCTTTCTGGCAGCTACTTGAGATTGCTTTCCCTTGTCTTTTCTCCTGGGACACAATACTAGCCATCTGAATTTTTTTTTTTTTTTTTTTTTTTAATCTCACTCCCTCATCCTAGTGATAGGAAGCTGGTTTTGCTGAAAGGCACCATGGTGTAGTGGTTAGGAGAATGGGTCCGAAGCCAGGTAGACTAGGTTGGAAGCCCCGGTTGGAAGCCCCGCTCTGGGACTTACCAGCCATGTGAAATTAATTAGGCAAGTTATGTATCCCTTTATGCCTTGGTTTCCTCCTCTTTAAAATGAAGGATAAGGGGCACCTGGGTGGCTCAGTGGGTTAAAGCCTCTGCCTTCAAATCGGGTCATGATCTCAGGGTCCTGGGATCGAGCCCCACATCGGGCTCTCTGCTCAGTGGGGAACCTGCTTCCCTCCTCTCTCTGCCGGCTTGTCTCTCTGCCTACTTGTGATTTCTCTCTGTCAAATAAATAGATAAATTCTTAAAAAAAAAAATTCTAAAATGAAGGATAAGGGGTGCCTGGGTGGTTCAGTTGGTTAAGCCTCTGCCTTTGACTCAGGTCATGGTCCCAGGGTCCTGGGATCGAGCCCCATGTCTGGCTCTCTGCTCAGCAGGGAACCTGCTTCCTCCTCTGTCTCTCTGCCTACTTGTGATCTCTGTCTGTCAAATAAATAATAAAATAAAATCTTTAAAAATAAAATGAAGGATAATAACGATTTTTCCTATCATTTAAAATTACGAGGATTAAACTTTTTATGTAGACTAAGAACTAGGGCTGGAATATAGTAAGCACTCATGTTAGTTGTCCTCTTTCTTTCTCTTCATCCTTTGGCAGAACTATCTGGGAAAGTGGGGGAGACACGCAGAGAGGACACATACCTCTATACCCATATCCACACAGAGAGATTCACCCACACCTAATGAAGGGCAGGGTATCCAACTACCTCTTTCTTTCTTTCTTTCTTTCTTTTTTTTTTTTTTTTTTTTGAGAGACAGAGCATCGTGTACATACATGTAGGGAACAGGGGCAGAGGGAGAGGGAGAGAGAAAATCTTAAGCAGGCTCCACACCCAGCATGGAGCCTGACACAGGGCCCCATCTCATGGCCCTGAGATCATGACCTGAGCCTAAATCAAGAGTCAAATGCTTAACCAACTGAGCCACCCAGGTGCCCCCCCAACTACCTCTCTCATCACCTACACATCCACACACTCAGGGAGTTTGTCTCTTTTTATTCATAGAGCGTATACTCATAACCAAACAAAAAGTAGGCCCCACACCTATACAAAAAATGTGAGTATGGACTGGCATACATCACACAATCCAGTAGAGAGACATGGAGGTGGGGTTGGAAGGGAGCAAATAAGAAAATAGAAATATGAGCAAGATGGTAAGTCTGGATCCTGTTGAGCTGCACAATACTGGGTGTCTAAACAAGTTTTATAGGAAGTAATTCCTCACAATGAATGTGAAAAATAATATTTTAAGTAAGATAATGTATTTACTGATGCTTCTTCCATGTTGGCTACATTTATATAGCAATTTCCCTATGAGCTAGTAATTTCCAAATATAAAAGAAATTTTTTTCCTTCTTAATCCTATTCTTTCTGGTGTTTATGGTCTTGTGTATGTGCATGTACATGCTGATATTTAGTTTAGGTATTTTAAGTTAGTGAATATTTAGAGCAGGAGGTTACAAACATAAGTGAAAGAGAAAAAAGAAAAAGAGTCATGTAGTTTCAAAGCAGATAATCTTATTTTCCCTCCTTTGGAAGAATAGTTGTTTATATGTGAGATGGGCAGTATGTCCTGTGGCAGTGCAGGTGGTTGGAATTAGACCAAGTTAATACCAAAATGTAAACATCTGCTTCTGTTTATTTCCTCAGCAAATGGGAAATAAAGCGCTGTCAGTGTTGTGGTTCTAGCGGAACACATTTAGCTTGTTCCTCGTTACAATCATGGGAACAAAATTGGGAGTGTTTGGAATGTAGAGGTATTCTCTACAATTCAGGTAATATTTTGTAATTTTGAATAAAGATGTTTTTTGAAATGTATATTATTTTAAAATTCTTCCTGTATATCTGTATTGTTAACATTGGGTTTTAAATATACAGAGGATTTCCAAAAAGCCAAAAAGCATACATTACCCAACACTAATAGTGTGGGATTAACTGATTGTTTGTTGGAAGAATCATCACCTAAATTACCCAGACAGTCACCTGGAGCCCAGCATAAAGATCTTCTGAGGTATGTATTTTGAAATGTAGGAAAATACAAAACTCTTCTTCTTTTTTTTTTTTTTAAGTAAGCTCTGTGCCCAGTGTGGGACTTGAACTCATTACCCTCAGCTAAAGAGTCACATGCTTTCCCAACTGAGCCAGCCAGGCATCCCTATAAAGCTCTATTTTGAGAAAATTTAGACTGGGAAGTGGTGTATATATATACATATGTATATATACATATACACACACACACACACACACACACACACACACACTTGGAATATTAACTGACCTTAGTATTCTGGAAGAGTGTTTTTCAAACTACAGGACCAAGATTTGATCATGAAGTCATTGCAGCCAGCATTAATAAAAAGAAAACAAAACAGGATAGAATAGAGTGTGAAATACCAGATTGCATTGCAAATAGGATATATATGAAATTTATTTTATTGTATACTGAATTGTGATATAAAATACATATTATAGATCATCGTCAAGGTAATATAAAATATCAAGTACACCATGTTACTTGGTTGAAAGGAAGGAATCATGTTTAATATAGTCATTTTTTTTTAATTGTATAATCATGTGCTTAATATATTTGCTGTCAGTATTGGAGGTCTAAATGTCACCTCTTTAGAAATTTAAGGCATACTTACAAGTATTATTATGTTGTATTATTGCCTACATATTTTCCTACCTAGGCTGGTTCACCCTGTCCTTAAGTAACCTGGTGGTTCCCAGCTTCTGGGAGGTCACCATATTGATGCCAGACTTAGTGCAGACACCCAGTTGGCATAGCACACGACAGCCCAGAACTCCTGTGCTCAAGTGATCCTTCTGCCTCAGCCTCCTGAGTACTTGGGACTACAGGTGTATGCCACTGTACGTAGTAAAATAAGTAACTTTTAAAATCATTCATAACATTTAAATAAGACTAGAATTATAACTTAGTACCATGTCCAGGTATTTATTTCTTCAGCTTAAGTTAGAATTTTTAAGTATATGTAGCTTTTAGAAGAAATACGCAAAACTAACGTAAGTAGCTAGATGAAGTACTTTCTTGTTAAAAATAGTATCAGGTTAGGGATACCTGGGTGTCGGTCAGGTGTCTTTCCGACTTTTGGTTTTGACTCAGGCCATGATCTTGGGGTCCCAGGATCCAGCTCCACATGGGTCTCTGTGCTCAGCAGGAAATCTTGAGATTCTCTCACTCTTCCTCTGTCTCTCCCCTGACATCTTCCCACATCCCCTGCTCCCAGCACATATACCCATGCACACTCTCTCTCTAAAATAAAATCTTAAAGAAAAATAGTATCAAGTTAAAAGTTAGAAGGTAAAGAGAATTTCTGCAAAAATACTTGATAAGTGGATTTATAGATGGAAGTGGAATATGAAGTACTATTCAAAAAGTGAAGAATTGCTGTTTTAAGATACCACTTGCGTTAACTGAAAACTTATTACAGATGTTTTTATAATATTTTTAGTATCAAAAAAGATGTTCACATTACTTTTAAAACTTTTAATATGTAGGTTTCCAAAGATGTTATTTCAGGGAAGTTTGATTCCTTGTTCCATGCTTTAACGTCATATTCTAAAAGAATAACAACAACATTTCCATTCCAGGTAGGAGTAAGGAATCAACCTGCTACACAAAGGCATATTTCTGAAGGATTGTTTTACTTCCAAAAGACTTAAGTTTTCCTGCAGTCTGGGTTAATGAATAGGGGGTGTGTGAGGAAAGAAAAAGCAAAGCCTGATCCTCACTGGGGCATCGTAATGTCTTATGATGAGAAAAATTTATACATGATATAGAAAGATGATCCATGGACATTGCTCCAAACGAGATAATTTTGAGTACATTAATTTCAATTACAGATGGAGAAATTGAGGCAGAGACATTTGATTTGGTCCGTACAATTGCCTGGAGATCTTTTTGTTTTGTTTTGTTTTTTTGCAATTTTTTTTTTTTTTAATTTTCAGCATAACAGTATTCCTTGTTTTTGCACCACACCCAGTGCTCCATGCAATCTGTGCCCTCTCTAATACCCACCACCTGATGGCCTGGAGATCTTAATAAGACAGCTTGGTAGGCCTCATGCTCAGAGGTTCTAATTCTGTTTACTTGCTGTCATGGCTCAAAAATTTGCATTTCTGGGGCAGCTGGCTGGCTCAGTCCGTGCAGTATGCAAGTCATGATCTCAGGATTCTAGGTTCGAGCCCCACATTTGGTGTAGAGATTACTTAAAGTCTTTGGAAAAAAATTTTGCATTCCTAACAAGTTTCCAAATGCTGTTGCTGCTGTTGGTTTGGAACCACACTTTAAGAATTATAGCTATAGACTAAAAAGTACTATTGAAAGGGTTGTGAGTTGTGTGTTCATTATAGCTATAGACTAAAAAGTACTATTGAAAGGGTTGTGAATTGTGTTCATAATAATAACTCTACTGTTAACTAACTTTATGATGAGAAATACATTGTAATTTGTAATCTCTTAAAACTATGGTTGTCTCATAGAGTAAGCAGAGATTACATTTGTTCTATTTTTTAAAGGATCTAGTAAACTTGAAATGCCTTGAAGCAACTGTTTGTTGTAGCCATTGGCCAGGAGGGTAAGATTCTGAGCTTCTGACTCTTACATCTGAATCCTCTGAATTGATCAAATTTGAGATAGTGATCTATCAATATTCTCATAGATCATTTATGATACTAGATTTTAATTAGTAGGAAATTGGGGAGGGAGTCAAGAATTTAGAATCAAGTCAAATAGCTTTTTGGTTCTGGTGGCAGCTGTTGTCTGTTTTTGGGTGGGAGCTGGGGAAGAATTTCCTTTTTAATTAATTTTTTTATTTTTTATTGGCTGAATAACTGCTGTGTCATGCAAAGTACTTTAGAGTACTTAACTTTTATGTTTAAATTCATGTCTTATAGGCAAGGCAATAAATTTAGAAAAGAAGTTTCAACAATAATGGTGGAATTAGGTTTTCAAATTAAAAAAAAAACTAAAAGATTATGGATTAATAAAGCCAATGTCTGGAATAGTGCCTTAGATGGATTCAGAAATCAAAACTTTAATCCTTCATACACAATTGAAGTAGCATATGTCGATGAAAATGATAACTTTGGAAGAGAGCGTCCTGGATCAAAGCAAGAATTCCTAAGTCTCTTAATGCAACATCTTGAGAATTCACCAATATTTGAAGGGTCCTTGTCAAAGAATTTGTCTCTAAATTCTCAAGGTAATTTTATTATTGTATCTGCTGAATATACCATGTGAAAGAGATAGCTGGTTAGAATTAATATTTAGTCCCTGTGGTCGAAATGTATAGTTTACTTGGTTATAAAATACTGATTGACTCACAGAAGAGTAGAGAAAGGGGAGTGGTATTTTTTAAATTTTCTAGTGAAACTTTTTATTTAAGAATATGCTTAATTTTTTTTAGTAATATCCTCCTTAGAGTGAATTTATAATTAAGTGTAACTTCTTTAAAAATGTACTTTATATTCATTCTTATTTCATTTGAATAGTCACCAAATGGAACCAAATGGAATAGATGATTATTTGAGCCCTTCTTTTCACATCTTTGGAATTTGCAGATAGGATGTTTCTTCACAACCTAGGATTTTATCACATAATTTTCTGGTTCACATCTAACAGATTTTTTAATGTACTTTTGCTTTCAAGAATTTTTCATGCATATTTATGTATATGATACTTTTCTGTCTTACGATGAATTTAAAAAAATGCATTTCAGAAGAGTGATTAATTCTAGCATTCTTTTTTAGGAGCTTTTATACCACTTTTGCTGTAATAGGAAATTCAGACAAGTGAGAAGACTTACTTCATTCCACTTGAATTTTCTCCTGTATAGTCGCTAGAACTTCCTTATTGTTGCGAAAGTATCATGAAAATAGTTGAGAAACTACCAGGGTTTATTTGTTCTATGTGTAGTACACACTGTTTAATTCAAAACTCCCTAAAACAAATCATTCTAAATAATAAGTAACATTAACTCAAGACAGTTTTGGTATAGTAGGTGAGTGCATGAATTCACAAAATCTGAATTCAGTTTTGTACACACCTACTTCAGTTGCTTTATTTCCTTTGATTAATTATTTAGTCTCTCTGGAATTCATTTAACAGATACAGAAAGTATTACTGCTAATATGTAGCATATAAGGTTATTGTTGAGATTTTCTTATTCATGTAGTGATAATGTTACTTGTTAATAATTTGCTCTTAATAATATTAAGAGAAATAAAGGAAAATTTACATTATGTCTTTTTGATTTATCAAGGTAGCTAAAACATTTTAAGTTTTTATTTTAAGTTAACATACAGTGTTATATTAGTTTCAGGTGTACAAGGTAGTAATTCAACATGTCCATATATCAGCCTATGCTCAACACAAGTGCACTCTTTAATCCCCACCACCTATTTCACCTACCTACCCCCGCTTGTCCCTTCTGGTAACCATCAGTTTGTTCTCTCTAATTAAGAGTTGGTGTCTTGATTTGTGTGTGTGTCTCTCTCTCATTTTTTCCCCTTTGCTTGTTTGTTTTGTTCCTTAAATTCCACATGTGTATAAAATCATATGGTATTTGTCTTTCTCTGACTTATTTTGCTTCATAGCTAAAACATTTTAAATGACAATTTAAAAAATACTGAAAGCTGCGATGACATGGTTAGATAGCATATACTCCTGGGAGTACCTTTGTGCCATTTTGGAAAATAATTTATCCCTATATATCAACAACCTTAAAAATGTTTATATCCTATGACCTCCTAACAGCATATGTAGGACTCTATACTAATCAAATAATCAAAGATATATAAAAAAGAATATGAGAATAGATGTTGATTAGAATATTATGTCTCATATAGTTGAAAGTATAACTTAGCCAAAGTAGCCAGTAATAAGGAGATGGTTTGCTTTGCAGCACATCTATAATTTAGTCTTAATCAGTCATTAACTGTAGATTTGAATAATTGTGTATAATATAGAAAAAGTTTACAATATAGTAAGTAAAAAAAAGCACAAGTCAAACTATTTGCACTAATATACATACTAGAAATACACATCAAAATGTGCATACTGGTTATTGTGATGGTATGATATGTAATTTTTATTAAATTTTCCTGTATTTACATTTTTTCTATTATAGGTTATTTTGTATTCAGAAAAATGTATTTAGGTGAGATCTGTATTTTATATACGATTCTAGTTTCTGTAAATTAATTTACATTTATCTAATTCTTAGTTTTTTGGGGCTTTTAATTTACTGTATATGTATTCATCATATATGGTTATCTTACAATAATAAAAGAATTATATTTGATGTATTTTCATCTGTATCTACAGCTCTGAAAGAGAATCTTTACTATGAAGCTGGCAAAATCCTTGCCATTTCTTTGGTCCATGGTGGTCCTTCACCTGGTTTCTTTTCTAAAACCTTGTTTAACTGCCTTGTTTATGGACCAGAAAATACCCAACCAATTTTAGATGATGTTTCAGACTTTGACGTGGCACAAATTATAATCAGGGTAAGAAATGTACTTGTTTATTAAAATACAAACTACATTCTAGTTATATGAATGTAAATGATGGATCTACAATAGAATAATAACTCTTTGTGCAGGAATCAAGAGGTATCAATATTACCAGCAGAGTTCACAAACAATTAAGAGATCAAAGGGCCACATTTAATGTTGATATAACCAGTTAGATAATATATTTGACTTTGGTCTGTGGTCAAAATGGTTTGTTACCACTCCTCAGAGTTAAATGGATTTATCTACCCTGCCAGAGACAATATAAGGCAGGTTCCTTATTGTCTGCTAGGTAGCAGGGAAAAGTGCACTTTCTGTAGGTAGTTGGATCTGTAAGGAAGGAGGACTTAGCTTACCTCTCAAAAAACTTAGTCTCACTCCTACAGGGAGATAAGTGTGATAGGTGCAGAGAAGGACCAGGCTGAATTTCTTTATGGAAACAAGTGGGGAGACTCAATGTTTCTACCTAAAAATAGTTATCATTTATTAAACCCTGTACTACATATTACCTGTACAAACTCAGTTTAGTTATAATAATGCCCTCTAAGTATCATTGCCTACATGTTACTGATTTGGAAACTAATTGAGACAATGAAAGTCATCCAGCTTTTTTTCCTTTATCCTTCCTCCTGCTTAAACCTACTCTATCCATTGTCTCCATTAATAGGCAGTATAGTTTAATGGTGTAAAGCAAATGCTCAGGGTGCCTGGGTGGCTCAGTTGGTTAAGCAACTGCTTTGGGCTCAGGTCATGATCCAGAGTCCTGGGATGGAGTCCTGCATCAGGCTCCCAGTTCCACTGGGAGTCTGCTTCTCCCTCTGACCTTCTCCCCTCTCATGCTTTCTCTCACTGTCTCTCAAATGTATAAATAAAAATCTTTAAAAAAAAAGGCAAATGTTCAGAAGTCAGATTTTAGTTTGAAATAGCTACTATAAGCTCTGTGACCTTGGGCACCTTAGTTAATCTTAAGCCTCAGTTTCAAAGTCACAAAGTAAATAACATGGAAGTGTGTCCTTTTATTTGTCCCAAGATGTCTCATCTTAAAATTTATCCTTTAACTCAAGTGATTTTTCCTTTTTTCCTCTTTACCAAAACACGTACTTTAGTATGACTTCATTGTCTCAGCTTCCTCTTTTGCTACTCATTTTTTTGCTTCTTGTAGTGAGGCTTCTGTTCCCACAGAGCATTCTTCCAAGTCAGCTAGTTTTTAGCTGATTCCAGGGATCTAAATCACTGCATGCAAAGGCCTTTCTTTCCTAATAATTCCTCATCTCCTTTTGTAATCACCACTGTCTTTGAATTCATCTCTTCTGTTTTCTTTAATACTGCATTTCTTCCTACCCCTGAAACTTAGGTTATTAATCTGTGTTATCCTAGTCCTCCCTCTGTACTATTTGGAAAGCTGCTTCCTGCCCATAACCTTTCTGAATGATTCCCAGACCTCTGTTTTTGAGCCACTAGACTTTTATACCTAGATAGGGTCTGAGTCTTTATAACACACTGAGTCCAACATGTTTAAGCCAACCGTTTTTTTTTCCCCAGAGTTTTTGGTTTGTTTGTTTGCTTGCTTGCCTGATTTTTCTTTTCAAAAGATTTCTTATTTCCATGCCTTTCTGGAGAAGTGTCATTTTCATTCTGCCATATTCCATTTATCAGGATGTATCAAGTCATCTATCTCTAAAAGTGAAGTTTATCTTCAGCATTTTCCTCTTATTTCTAATGTACTTACTATACCAAACTCAAATTATTTCTAGGTTTAAACAATTAGGATATTATTCTAATAATCAGGATGATTCTTTTAAAAGTATAGTTTTGACAACATTGCCTTCTTTGGAATCTTCAGTGGCTTCTCATTGCCTATTGAACAAAGTTCAAGCTATTCCTTAGGGTATTTAAGACTTCCAGCTCTTCTCATGGCTTTATCTATTGTTTCTGTGCTCCTATCCAATGTTTGTTCATTTAGTCAACAAATAACTATGTACCTCATATTGTTTCATCACTGAAGATGTAGTAGTGAACCAAAGTCCCTGCCTCTTTGAAATTTACATTTTAGAGGAAACACAGAAGATAAATAAATATATAATATACTGCCGTATAGTAAAATGTATTGTAAAAATAAAAAAGAATAAGAGAAAGGAGATAAAGTTTGGGGTATAATAAGATGGAACTTGGGCTTTGCTTCTGTAACAGAGACCCCAACAGATGTTTTATTTCTCTAAAATTTGTTATCTAGATTTTAGTGTAGGGATTAGCAAGTTACAGCTATAGGCCAAGTCTGGCCTGCTGCCTCTCTTGTTGTAGATAAAAGTTTTATTGGAACACAGCCATACCTACTTACCATTTGTTATGTGTTTATGACTGCTTTCACACTATAGTGGAAGAGTTGAGTAGTTATGGCCCACAAAGCATAAGATGTCTGGCCTTTCAGGCAGCTTGTATTTTAGCGGTATGGTTATGATACATCTAGGGAATTGGATTCCTTCTTCTCTGTTAATCTGATAATCACTTAGGGTATTATCTTCATCTACATGAGGCTTGCTCTTAAGGGAAGAAATAGAAGTAGAGTTCTGGAAAGTTTGACACATTTTCACTCACATTCTTTTGGATAGCTCTCAGTCACATATAGCCAGATTTAGCTGTAAGGAAAGTTTGGCTGTCAACTAAAATTCAGGGTGGTGGGTTTGGGAACAAAGGTAATATTTACCTAACTACTTGTGACAGTGTGTGAAGGTAGTATTTTGAGCAGAAAAACTTCTGGAATTTCAGCAGAGATCTGAAGTGAATGAAGGAAGTCATATAAATCACTGGGAAAGAGTTTTTTTGGAAAGAAGAGATAAAAAGTAAAATTTGTATTCAAATAGACCATTGACTGCTTCCTATTTTTAGTCTTTCTTTCCTTGTGTAACTCTTTTAAAGAGCTAATCTATATGAAAGTGTCTGGCACATTAATGGTCAAGTTTCCTTTTTTTATACTATTTCCTGAACTATTTTGATTCTATCCCTATTTTAAGTACCTCATTAAGTCTTTGAGTCCCTCATTCAAATCTAACAGCTGATATTCTTTCTCTTTCATGAAATCTCAGGTTATTTCACTTACTTCTCTAATGCTATGTAACTGTTCTGTGTCAATTATTATCTCTTATGTAAATAATTTCCTATATTAAAGTGCCAGTTTACTACAGGTTTCTTGAAGGCAGAAATTGACAATATTAATTAAACTGGATTGTCCTTTATTCTAGAAAAATAATTCTTGATATACTTTTACTCCACACTGGTGTTCTCCAGAATTGAGTATAAAGTAATAAGTGATATTTGAAATGTAAAAATCATTCACAAGTAAATGAGTAAACTGGGTATATTTTCTTCTTTGTTATAGGTAAATACTGCAACAAATGTGGCTGACTTAAACTCAGTAGTAAATGAATGCTATAACTACCTAGAGCTTATTGGATGTTTAAGACTTATAACTTCATTAAGTGATAAATATATGTTGGCAAAAGACATACTAGTTTATCATGTAATTAAGAGAGTCCAAGCACCCTTTGAAAGGTAAGTTGTTTATATGTGATTCTCTCAAATTACATGTTTAAAGTGATTGTCTTACAATAAGATATATTTGATAAAAATTTAAGTGCTATTTTAAAGTAATGCTTTAAAAGTAATGTCTTAAGAATGATTGCCGTTCTAACCATTTTATACAGAATTGGTGTGAATGTATGATGCTTGGGTAGGAAGAGTAATCATTACCTCAATTTATAATTATCCTTCTAAAAAAATTTTTTTAATTCTTAGCATGTAAGCCAACTCTTCCATTTCCTTTCATTCAATAACTATTTATTGAGTACCTGTTGTCTGCTAGGTAATAGGTACTAAACATTCTTTGATTAACAAAGTAGATATGAGTCTTGCTCTTCATTACCTTAGAGCACTGGTCTTCAGACTCTTTGTTCTTATAATTCTTAAAAGAAGTTTGAAAACTTAGTTATTCTCACATTTTTCTGTTTGTATATGTATAAAATGTATATGAAAATAGGGAGAATGGTACACCATGCAGTTACCACACAGATCTAATGATTACCAGTCAACCTGTGGCCAGTCTTGTTCATCTAGCCTACCTTTATTATTGACTCCAGGATTCGATTCTTCTCTTCTCTTCTCTTCTCTTCTCTTCTCTTCTCTTCTCTTCTCTTCCCTTCCCTTCCCTTCCCTTCCTTTCCCTTCCCTTCCCTTCCCTTCTTTTCTTTCTTTTATTTTTAAAAAATATTTATTCATTTTAGAAAGAGAGAGCAAGTGCCTGTGGGGGGAGGGGCAGAGGGATAGAATGCTCAGGCAGACTCCCCGCTGAGCGTGGAGACCCATGTGGGGCTCGATCCCACACCCAGTAAGATCATGACCTGAGCCGAAGCCAAGAGTTAGATGCTTAACCGACTGAGTACAGATGCCCTGACTCCAGGATTATTTTCAAGCAAATTCCAAACATAATACCATCTCAGAAGTGATCATTTTTTAAAAAAAATTTTAAGTGTCATTAACCTATGGGTTTAAATATATTTGATGTGTTCACAACTGTTATACTTCTTAAACTTACTGGAGTTCTCATTGTCTCCATGTTTGGCCATTGTAAATGTTCTTATGTTTCTTTTGAGTTCTTTTGATATTGACCTTAATGATCTTTGATAGCTTTCTTGGTATATAGCAGAGTATTTCAGGCTCATTCTGTGCATTTTCGACTGAGGAACCTTTGTTTCTTTGAATGGTGAATGATATTTCCAAAATACAGTCTGGATGCTAGGGATGCTTTTTTTGCCAGATTGTTCAGTGTTCATAGGACTTTTCAGTGGACCCAAACTAGGTCATATAGGGTTGTTTTGGTTTGGTTTTGGTTTCAGGTTTTTAAGGTAAAATACATCTTGAGTTTTACTGATACTTCAAATTCACTGCTATAAGATTTTTAACCTTTTCTTTGTCCCATGTTGAGAACCTCCGTTATCAACTCAACAACACAGGAGAATTAGACTATGAAATAATTACTCACTTCATTTATTCCACATTTCATAAACAGTAGTCTCAGTAACATTACCAACATTTTTACCAATAACTTTATTGAAAACAGGTTAACATTATTTTTCTAGGGCTGTGTAGTCAAGTTAATATATTGTAAAGACATTTGGAAAATTTATTCTGTGGTGTTCTACTATGAGCTATATATACATTTTATTTTCATTTTTTATTTCATTTTATTTCATTTAAATTGATTGATTTAAAAAAATTTAAAAAATTTAAAAAATTGTTTTACGGTTCTATAAAATATTTACATGGTTCCAAAATCAAATTTATAATGAAAGTATATCAAAAGAACTCAGCTCTGTGATACAAATTGCATTCAAAGAAGTATAGCTTTCATCCTTATCACATCCACTTTTCATCCCCTTATGAAGTCATTTTAGTGACATTGTTTAGCCATTATTTGTCGGTTTTTTAAATGATAAATATATGTGTGCATATGTACTAATTTCTTTTATTAGATAAATAGTAACATTACATCCACCCTTTTTCTAGTCATTTTTTAAAATTGGCAATATATACTGGAGATCATTTCATGGTGATAAATACTTCTGTTTTTAGAATCTATATCACGTGGCCTTTTCCACTGTGTGTGTGTCTTGTAAAGACACTTGTCATTGGATTTTGGGCCAGTCCAAATCTAGATAGGATGATCTCAAGATCTTTAATTTTATCTGTTTAGAATTTTTTTCCAAATAAGATCACATTCATAGGTTCCAGGAAATAGGATATAGACTTATTGGCGGGGTTGGTGGGCTAGGACTCCATTCAATCTACATCAGGGTAAATTACAGTATTGGGACTTATTTCTGGCACGTCTCTGGAGCTACAGCGTGGAGAATGAACTTGGGAATTTGCACACCTGGTAGAGCAGTTCTTCTGCAGGTGGTTTGTAATAGGGTGGTAAAGCAATATATAGAGAAATGAGCAGATAAAAGGGATTTCAGACAAGGAAATTCATAGGACTTGGTAATAAGAAATGGAAGAGGAAACAGTTAAAGAGGACTTTTAGATTCAGCTATACTAATTTGATGGATAATGGAGGCATATCCATCAGTTATGGTTTAGATTTTAGTAGTAAGGTGATGAAATTTCTTTTGCACTTAATAAGTTTGAGTACTTGAAATATATGCTACCATTAGCCTGTTGGATATATTTCTGAGCTAGAGATACTAGAGTTTATTTTGTTTTTAATTAATTAATTAATTTTTTAAAAGACAAGGCAGATTTTATTTTTTAAGATTTTCATTTGTGTATTTGAGAGAGAGAGGCAGAAAGTGAGAGAGAGCATGAGCAGGTTGAAGAGCAGAGAGAGAAGCAGACTCCCTGCTAGAGCAGGGAGCCTGATGTGGGGTTCAGTCCTGGGACTCTGGGATCATGACCTGATCCGAAGGCAGATGCTTAACTGACTGAGCCACCCAGGCTCACTGAAATAATAGATTTTATAGTTATGAGTGTATACCTGCTAAATACAGCCATGGGAGAGGATAAGAGAGAAGAGAAATTGGCCTTGTTACAGATCCATGAGACATAAACATCAACATTTAAAGCAAAGTAAAGAAAGAAGAAGCTTTGTAAGAGACTGAAAAGATCTGGCCAGAGAAAGAAGGGAAACCAGAAGACTGATGCCATAGAAGGAGATCATTCATAAATTAGGGCAGTTTTTCCTCAGGTGTAGACAAGAGTAGAATAAAAGTGAGTTGGAAATTAGTGAAGGTAGTGAATGTGGGTAAGTCTTTCAGATAGGTTGTCTTAAAGGAAAACATGGCATTGAATGAATTTTTTTTTCCATTTAAAGATGGAAAAAATAAGCACATTTCTGTGCTCTTGAGAATAACCCAGTAGAAGGGGGGGATGAATCTGTAACAGGGTACCTGAGGAGGTGGGTAGGGGATTCAGAACCACCGATAGGGCTTAGTCAGTCTGATAGATAAAAATATACCTCAGTTCTTTCCTAACAAGTGAGAATGCGCATTTAAAATAATTTACTTGTTCCTTGTATTTTGTTAATTATCCCTTCATATTTTGCTAATTTCCTGTTAAATTGTTCTTTTAGAAAAATGATTTGTATTTTTTGTATATTAGAGAAATTAGTTTTCTGTTATATACATTACCACTTTGTTTTTGTCGTTGTTAATTTCTTTTTAGCAGTACATAAGTTGAATTTTTTTGTGGCTAAGATTTATTACTCTTTCTTTGCAGTTTCTAGGAAACTTCATTTTATACTCTAGCTGTGAAGTGTAAAATACTTTCACATGTTTACTTTTTTCCCCTTAAAAATTGTTAGCTTAATTTTATTTCTTTTTTTTATTGTTTTAATTTTAAAACTATCTTACAAAATCAAGTAGTATGTGCAGATAAAATTTTATATTAATATACTTGCTTGTTATTGATTTTAAAGTATCATATCATGTATATCTATATTATTATATGTTTTTTCCTCACATCTAACTATGTGTGATAGTAAGTTAGCTAGAAATGTTAATTTGTAGTTGTAATACCAAACACATGTATGAATGTTGGCTTATTGTTTATCTTCTTATAAGTTTTAAGCAGGGTCTGAAAACTCTTGGTGTTTTGGAGAAAATTCAGACTTACCCAGAAGCCTTTTATAGCATCTTCTGTCATAAACCTGAGAATCTTACTGCAAAAATCCTTAGTGATCTTTTTACAGTACGCACATTATCTGATGTACAGGCTTTGGGATTTTGGAACAGTTATCTACAGGCTGTTGAGGGTATGCGGATGTTTTATTTTTATTTAACTGTCATAGAACATTTGTTTTGGTATATTAATTTATTTCTTTGAGTTTTGCTTTTTGATGATAAGACTTTCATCTGCTAACTCCACATTTACAAAATTTATTTCAAGACAAGTGTATATGACTGAGTTCAAGGTGATGAGGAAAGATTACAGAGTAAATTTCAATTTTGCAATTTGTTTTCCTCTAGATAATTTGAGGTAAAAGGCATTCTTCCTAGAAAACTTTATATGGGTGACTGCCACAGCATAAACTTAAAGCTAGTTATCTTCTATTTCATCTTTTTCAATTTTAAGTTAAATATCATTGAGCATTAGCAGTGTAAAATCATCCTGTTTAATAGAGTGGTTAAGATATGAGTTGAAATTTTTTTTTAGCTAGGTTATTCAGTTAGTTTATACCACTTAGTTTTCCTCTGAGTTTGATGAACTAGTGTGTCAAATAGTGATGATCTAAAAATGGCTTAAAATTTTTATTATCATGCCCCCTGAACCTCTTGGATTGTATAATAATTTTATATTAGAGAAGACATTCAAATATATAATGAGTAGCAACTAAATGACTTTCTGAGTCATATTTGGAGGTTCAAGTAAACATTTATTGAGTGTACTATTTTCCTGTTACTGTGCTTGATTTGGTGATTTATTTTGCCCAAGATAGATAGATGTTAGAGTCTCTTAAACATTCCCTGTCTAGTTGGGAAAGCGTCTATATTGATAGTAATATATATATAACATGGATTTTCTTTTTTGGTAAACTTTTCAGATGGTAAATCTGCAGTGACAATGGAAGATATTCTTATTTTTGCAACTGGTTGCAGTTCCATTCCACCTGCAGGATTTAAACCCACTCCTTCAATTGAGTGCCTTCATATGGATTTTCCTGTTGGGAACAAGTGTAATAACTGTTTAGCTCTTCCAATCACCAATACATATCAAGAATTTCAAGAAAATATGGACTTTGCCATAAGAAACACCCTAAGACTAGAAAAGGAAGGAAGTTCTCACTACATTGGACATTAAAATGTTTTGAACAAAGAAATGCTTCTTGAAAAGCTGCTATTGATACTTTTTGTTTCAGAAATCTGTCCATTATTTGAACAAACTTGTTAGCTTCTTGGCCCAATAAAATTTATATGAACATATGAACAAGGAATGTTTTGGCCACTTAAGCTAAAAAATTTTTTGTTAACGTGTACCAGTCAAAATTGATGATATTTTTCTATTTTCTTAATATACATGCATCATAAACTTTAATATAAATAGTTTTAAAACAGCTGTACAGACTTTTTTCAAGTATAATAACCTGAGATATATATATATATATATATATATATATATAAGAAAAAAACTTGTATTCACTGTTTCTGCAAATAAGGATTAGCTATAGGATACCACAATGATTTTTCTAGTTTTATATAATTTTCAAATTATTATTTTATTTTAAAGCATTAAATAGAAAAGCAAATTGATAAATCGTGTTATATAAATCAAAGGCATATATTCTGGGGTATGTGTTATAAATATTTTTCCTAGGATGGCACTGAATTGGTTAAAAATGTTTTTAGATTACTGATTTATATTGAAACAGACCCACACTGCAATTAGACTATACCTAATGGGAAGTATTATGAAAAAGCAGAATTGCACAAATATTGTAGAACCTATGGACATTCCATAGTCTTAAGAACACTTCTGAGGTGGATAAAATATATTTGAAAATAACTTAAAAAGTGTTTAAAGGCTTGGCTTTGATCATAGGATTTTCTTTTTTTCTCTATAGCCCATGTGTGGTATTAAAACCACATTATGTCTGATTCAGAATCATTTGGGGTGTGTCATTTATCTTTGTGGATTACCATGACTCTTTGACAGTTATTTATTATCAAGTTGGTTGTATGATAGGTAAGCTGGTACCATTGCATTATATATTACCTTCTTTACTCTTGAAGATATCTTTATTATACAAGCAATGGAAAAATGTGTAAGAAAGAAGTACAAACAGAATGAAAAACCCACTCTAATCTCACAGTGCAGAATTAACTAGTATGTTTCATTTATTCTTACTATAAACTATTTTCCTTTCCTTTTAAACTTTATTGTTATTGAAAGTCAAAGAATACCTTAAAGTAACAAGAAATCATGTAATAACAATTTGAAAACAGATAGTCCCATAGTTATGTCCCCATGTTTATATTCTTGCAAAAGGAGAAAGTGGAAAAGTTTTATGTTCCTAATCTATTATCAAACATAAATTCGTTTTCCACCAAAGTAAATTTAAATTGCATGAGAGTTAAATCATTATGAGAGGTTGGTTTTAACCACATTTTTTTATATACAAAAGCAGTTATCAACTATCATCATATTCTCATCCTTCCCAAGACATCCTTAAATTATTGATATTTTCAAAGAAAAACAACAGGATTGATTTGATACTGGTGATGTAACTCTTTAATACCAAAGGAAAGCTAAAACATATTCCTAGTATAATTTTCCTTGTTACACTTATTGGCAGACCCAGCAAATTAAAGTTTCATTTTGACTTGAAGTTTTTAAGAACATTATGGAAGGCATTTATTTGTCTTATATTGTGTTATTATTGTTGTTGTTTTTTAGATTTTATTTATTTATTTGACAGAGAGACAGCAAGAGAGGGAATACAAGGAGGGAGAGTGGGAGAGGAGAAGCAGGCTTCCCTCTGAGCAGGGAGCCCAATGTGGGGCCTAATTCCAGGACCCTGGGATCATGACCTGAGCCAAAGGCAGACGCTTAACGACTGAGCCACCTGGGTGCCCCTGTCTTATATTGAATTGTTAGATCATCAAAAGTAATTCAAGGATTGTTTAAGAGTTTGAATATCTAAACTTCAAATTTGCCATATAGCTTTTATTCCAAATGTGATAAATTGGATATTTCTCAACCGTACCCAGTTTTTATAAAATTTAAAAAGCCATTAAACAAATAGAAACCAAAAATCTAATTAAAGCTATTTTCTATCATTTGTAGTTTTAATTTTTCCTACAGTGGTAATTAAAATTAATGAACATTCACACAGATTTTGGGTGGGGTGAGTTGGTAGGGAAGCGATGTGCTTGGGTTGACTATGATTAAAAAAACAGTATTTCAGTTCCTCATTTCACTATTTTATGTGTAGACAGGGCCTTTGGGATATGGTGTGATGTAAATAATTTCATATATTCACATTTCTAAAGTGATGCATACTCATTGCAAAGCATTTTCTATGTTTAAGGATGTTCCATTAGTTTGAGTTTTAAGTTAGTCTGTATAGTCAAGGCATAGTAGAAAATCCTGTAGGTTATTTATTTTTCTGCGTGTTACTATGTCACATGGTTGATATTGTGATGTTCTTTTTCTGTTCATTGTTCTAGCCAGTAGACAACTCTTGCTGACATTGATTTTTAAAAGTAATTATGCTATAAACCCTTATAAATGTGTATTTGTATTTAACTACTTCAGTCGTCTAAATGCCATATATTTCAAGTGTGTTTTCTATACTCAATATTGGAGAAAACCATAAAGTCATCTATTGTACATCTACTATTAACAGTCTTTGATTAGTTTTAAATTCATTGTTTTTAGACACTTTTTAAACCTTTTGGTATGGGAAGTTCATCTGAAGACCTTTTTATACAATTCTTTACTATTCTTGTAGTCATTTTAATTTTTTAGTATTTAAGGTTAAAGTTTCTTTAAAATATCTCATCAGAAACTGGGTTATGATTTTACACATTGTAATATTTAATTTCTACATTATGAATAAGCCATTATTTGGGTCAAGTAAAAAGCCTTCATTTGATTACTAATCTGAGAATTCACTTTGGCTTCTACTTTATGCCAAACTTGTAATAATTCTTTCCCTAAATTTGTGGAAGCTATTGTACTCAGTGATGAATGCGAAGTGAAGGAGATTATAATAGGTAAGTTTTCTCCATGACTTTGCCTTTAGTATTTCGTCATTGTAAGAAAATGATTAGAACAAAATTCCATTTAAATGTAATTCTTTTATATAAGGATTATCACTTTCTTCATTGTTAGTTTTACAAGAAGCTATTAAATTAGTGTTTATGCTTTAAGTAATGCAATAAAAAGCTTTATGCTTTAAGTAATTCAGTACAAAGTAGAACTTCACATTGTATAATGGATTACTTGAATGTATATGTAGTTCAGAAAAATTTGGATTGCTTTGAAAAGACCCAGTTTTCAAGTTCTAATTTTGACTGTTAATCTTTTCCAATTGCCAAACATATTCCATCCTATACCTGCTGTATACCAGGTATTATGCTAGGTGATAGTTGATGTGGCAGCCTATTCCTCCCTCCCCTTTTTTTGACTTCAGATGTAACCAGAAAACATGATACTGATAATGACATTCCTAAATAAATATGTTCATGCTACTAAATGTGAAGTGCTTATATGAACTATTTTAAATAACTTGTTAGGATTTTAAGATTCTGACAATGCTAAATAGATACAAGATCTTTTTCATATTTGAGAGATCCTGTAAGCAGTTGTTGACTGACACCCCAGAACCTCTCTTTAATGAGCCATATTGAGACATTCTGTGTTAAAACTATTCCCTAATGTAAAATAAGTTTACCAGAATAAATTATTTAAGCCAAAAATCTGGATAGGTAGAGCCAGTTAGTTAAAAGTCTACAGTAAATTAGGTTAACACTTTGAAGCCATAGTTTGATTCTTGCTGATTCTAAGAATGCATGACAAATTCCTTTCTCAGTCGCAGTCTTACAGGGTCTATTTGTCTACTGTCACCATTTTGTAGGGTATATATATATATTTTTTTTTTAGATTTTATTTATTTATTTGACAGACAGAGATCACAAGCAGGCAGAGAGTCAGGCAGAGAGACAGGAGGAAGCAGGCTCCCTGCTGAGCAGAGAGCCCGATGTGGGACTCGATCCCAGGACTCCGAGATCATGACCTGAGCCGAAGGCAGCGGCTTAACCCATTGAGCCACCCAGGCACCCCTGTGGGGTATATTTTTTTATAAGTTTTTTTGTCCACTCTATGTGCACACCTTAGTCAAAACAGTTTTTATCATTTCATATGTATATACTGTATATAAATGTTAAACATTGTCTTAATGTTTTATATTAATATGACTCAGTCTAGGGAAGAAGTCTGTGATAGAACTGAAATGGTTAGCTGATAGATTTGCATTTGAAAGTGAAAGTACCCAAATCAACAAGATTGGGCTCTCACATATTGGAAGAAGAAATGTATGTTTTACATTCCATGAGAACAAGCAATGAAGTAGAATTTTTCCCTAGGGCAGGAATTGTCATTTGTTTAATTACAGTACACTTAGATCATTGGTGTTTCCTTCAAAATAGTGCTTCAAAGTAACACTGAATAAAAAATATTTTCTTAGTGAATATGCCAGTTAGCTGTAAAAATGAGAGATGATGCAACTCTTAAAGGTAAAGAATGTAGGTTCATAATCATTTATCAACCTATTTTTCCCACCCACCAGCCCCTGGTAGCCACTCTTGGTCTATTTACATGAATTTGGAGTTTTTTAGTTCATTTGATGTAATGATAACTTTTCAACTGTAAGATGAATATGGTCTGAGACATAATACATAGTATGGTGACTACGGTTGATAACTATTGTATAACTGAAATTTGCTGAGTAGGTTTTAAATATTTTCACCAAAATAAACGAAGATGAATATTTGAGGTAATGGATGTGATGACTAGATGGAGGGAATCCTTTCATAGTGTTGTAATTCTATTAAATCATAGCTATAAACTACAAATTTTGTCAATTATACCTCAAAATCGAAAAACTTTCTTACACAAAAACTAAAATCAGCAGATACGTTTTGTCAATCATGGCTTCACCCGTACATTAAAATACCAGCTCTGGGGACGAGGTGGCCGAGTGGTTAGGGCGATGCACTGCTAAAATACCAGCTCTGTCCACTAACTTTCCCCACCTGTTATGTGATCTTGGCGTTACTTAAAAGGAAAGGAGGAGGCTACCAATTTGCCATTTTGTAACTTCTTAGCTCCTGTGTTCATGTAGGCAAAATCAGCATAAAACTAGACCATTTCGCCTAACAGATGAGATTGGGAAATCTGCCAGAATTTAGAGCAATGCTCCAAAACTGCCTGTTTCCCTGAAAAAGGGGACAAGGGAGAGACTTCTGCGGCACTTGGAAACAGAAATGAGCTAGCATTTTAACCCCTACTTTGTTTCTGGAGCTTCGTTTACTTTAGTGATCTTTAAACCCCTAGAGCATTCTCAACATTTAAGAGATCTGAAAACGACCAATTTAGTACTTAATTACTAACACCACGCTCCTCCCTAGAAGTTCGATTTAAAGCAGCTACCATATGAGAAGCTGTAGCTTGATTAGATAGGATAAAAACCCCTATTTCACAGCTGAAAAGTAAACACTACTAGATGTTCAGGCATTAACTCCCTGGGTCTCCCCAGTTTTAAGGAAAGTGAAGGAGGCGGTAGCCAGGCCCCAAGTGCCTCCCTCGGCCCCGCCCCTCCGGGCTTTGCTTCCGGGGCAGTCAGGGCGGCCACGTAATCCTCGGGTTGCGCTCGCCAACCGTGCAGTGGATGGTGGGAGTCAAGATGGCGGCGGCTGCAGCAGCTAGTATTCGAGAGAGACAAACCGGTACGATTTATTCCTTTCTTCCCACGGTTTTAAGCCTGCGGTGGAGACATCCTCTTCCTCTGCTTGTCCCCCTCCCTCGGTCGCGGTGCATGCAGTTCGAGACGGCCCTCCAGAGGCTCAGTTCAGTTCCTAGAGCAATGAGAGCCCCTCTTGAGTTTTTAGGAAAGATGCCAGTAGCTTGAGAACTCGGCCCCTCATATGTGGTTCAGGAGAAGAGGCTTCAGGGTGGGGCGTTTGCTACGGTCCTGTTCTTGCCCCTTTTCTACTGGGCCTCAGAAGGGCATCACAAGAAGATCTAGCAGCTGACATTTTACCCCTTGTTGCCACCTATCAAGTTTGTTTCTGTGCATGGTTCAGTTCTCTGCTAGTTTTAATGTTGAGGGAGTTTCGTTTTGGACACTTCCTCCACAATTACAAAATTTAGGCATTCTTTCAGAGCAGTTTACGTTCTGCTGTTTCTCTCCTTTGGACCAGTCTTTTGGGGGTACCTGAAGAGAAATGCCTAGTGATAAAGATTTCCTTCTTTAACTTGCCGGAATGGAGTTGAAGAATGGCAAAAAAGCAAATGGATTGGTAGCTTTGTCATTTTAACCGTTTGATAGATTAGTATTTTAGAACTGTTCATTTCATTCTCGATAGAGCAGTTATATAGCTTCCATTTGTACAGAGAAATCTTTTTTTTTTAAGGTACATATTTCTTCCCTTGAGCTTCAAATTTTTTTCCATCTTACTTTGTTTTTCCTTATTTTCTGTAAATTTCTGGCAAATACGTGGTTTATACCTGTTAGCTATCGACTAATGGTTTATGCCTGTTAATTGCCCTGAAAGTTGGCAAGCTGTTAATTCTGAGGAACAAATAGGAACAAACCATCAAGAATATGCATATTTGGAAATTCTGTCCCTTGTAATCATGTTCTTCTGCGTGTTAATTTGAAAGGATAAATAAATGGT